GGTTTTTTTCTGTTTTCGTAGGTGACAGTTAAAGACGAGAACGGTCGTGTATACGAGTTTCCTTGCAAGGAATGGCTGAGTGAAACACAGGGAGGCGGCAAAACAGAACGTCTTTTGAGACTACAGCACTCATAGTGCCTATTGCGCATGCTTCAAAGGTAACGACAGGTCACGTGTTTCAACGTGACCTTCACTAGTGCTAAGACGTTGCATAATTATGCAATTCAATAGTTTGAGGAACTTACCTTTGTTATAACAGGTTAGGTAAATTGCAGTATGGATAACTTCGCTGAATTCCATGACACGTAACTTCACGAGTTAAACGCTTCAGGACTTCGATGAAATGTTCGACAACTTTTTCAAGACCGTTAAACGACCAGTTTACTGACAACTCGAACCAAATTACTGAATGGAACCTTGAAAACGAAAAATTCCGAAAAAATTGTTTCGAAACTTGAATTGTATTTAAATAAGTTTGTTGTTTGTTTGAAATGTACTATCTTTTTTAGTAAAAAAAAGTCGAATGCCAAGTGGTTAAAAAACATAAAAAAAGGTCCACTATTGGTCTGGCCACATTTCACAGACCCTCCCTTTTGATTTATTGCAAGACTTCAAAGACACTCCTTAATTTCTAAGAAAATTCGTGATGGTATTTCGATATACTTAGACACGTTTTACTTAATGTAACATTTTGGAATTAAAATTTTCATTCTTGTACTGTTTTCCTCCTTTAGACTTTATGAAATTATTATTCGCTAGACTTAAGATGATTGAGCTAAATGTCCTCATTACTTAGCTAATTTTGTACAAAAAATGGATGGAATACGAAACAATTTCTAACGTGAGAAGTAGGATTTTAGCTGAGATAAAAGTTATCGAACTCGTATAACTGGTATTTAAAGAGTACAGTTCCTGTGTTGATGCACGAGTTTGATGTTGATTTTAAAGAATTTTTTGTAATAAAAATTGACAGTCCTATGTGCTAAGTAAACAAGGCCGATAGAAAAAAGCCTGTGTTGTTTGGTTTTCTTTAATTAGAGTAATTTCAGTTGACTCTAGAGAGACCGAAACAGTTGATTCTGTATGTTTTTTTTCCGCTTGAGTCATTTTAAGTTCGAACTTCGAGCAATGGGAACCCATCTTGATTTCTCATTAAAGTTCGTGTTATAATGGGTCAAGAGTAATAAACAGTGTTTGTGGTTACAGTCGACAAATTTTAAAAGCACAAAGAATCAAATTGTGTTCATTCCTTAACTTAAAGCGTAGCTACGAACGACAGTCCAATACAGGCCCATTTTATTCCTTAAATATTCTTTGTTTCATTTTGACTCACAGATGGAAAATGTGCACTGTTACATCATAATAACTGACTTACAGATGGGTGCACTGTGACAGAATGGAACTGACTGGCAGATGGGTGTACTGTGACACGATGCAACTGACAAAGATACTGACTACTGACAGACAGAACTGTACTTGAGAAGAGTCACGTGTCTCTGTGATTGACGACTTTACGAAAATGTCAGGCACTCCTCAACTATTGAGATTGGGCATTTAACAGTGCATATATGATTCAGTCATGCTTGGCAAAGTAATTGGCACATTATTCGAAATATCGTACCTCGATCTTTCTTAGATCTGTTTTATTCTTAGTGTTCCTGTTAAAAAATATATATTTTATCGCAATTTAAACTATTAAATTTACCTGTACGACCTAACCTCTGGGGAGACGTATAAAATATACCAACCCGATTCGATCTCTCGGACCAACATAACATCGGATCAGCAACACCTTTTTCTTTGTAATCATAGGATGGTTTCACTGGGGTTAACTGCTAGCCGTAAAACGGCCAAACAATTTAGCCGTTAGGTGTAAAAATTGGCAAATTTTAGCAGTTAGTCGTACAAAAAGTTAAACGTAAAAAAAGTTCTGGTGACAAAATGGAAAGATGTTAATCTTTAGCCGAAAATTTGCCAAAATTTTAACAATTGGCCGTAAAAGCCATCACCCCATTGAGATCCCCTTATAGATCTAAAAAGGGAAAGTCAAACGTAGAGGTGTCATTTTGCAGACAAATTTGGCCATTGGGATGAACAAAGTCGAAGGATTTCTAGCAAACAGACATTTTTCCTTCTTTTATACATGAATATAACTTTCTAATACATACCAATAGTTGAGGTTTTATTGGTTTTTAACGAGTCTATTGACATTCTCTTACGTTTTGTTTGAGCTTTATGTAGAAGAGGACTTATTTCCAAATTGGTTCAAAAACAAAGTCTTTTTGGGGTTTAGACTTTGATGAATTTGCTTTGCACCCTATATCTAAGACCTGAAAAAGCCAAAAAAAAAAGCGACATACCATTGAGGAGTGCCTGTCATAACCTATGTACTCTTGATGAAACCGAGGAGATAATGAAGCCAGCAACGGGGAAAACCAATCCCGCATATAGGTTGGTGTCATGCTATCCTTCATCAAAAGGTTATGGCGATTTGACCTCCATGAGCTTCGTACCTTGGGAAAAATTTTCGCCCTGACGACATTCAATTCAATTTATCAGTTATTTTACACCCTTGGAGGAGACTTCCATAGTTTCACTTTAACTTCCTGAGTGGAGGAAAATAAAAAAAAGGCAATATTTGTTCCAAATGTGTAACAAGGCTTCAGCTAGTTGCTGTAATTTTTGGCTTTGATCGCTTACTCCTAATGTATTGCGGAAGCTATGGAGCCTGTTAATGCCTGCATCTTGGACAAAGTGGGCTTGGAAATCAAGCAGTTAAAGAATGATTTAGTGGCTCGTTGACATCAATTCTATGAATGCCAATGTACAGAAGATCTCGGTGATTGGTTATCTTACAAGGAAGGTAATGGCATTGTACCACAGTGGTATGTTCTACAATGAAAATGTAAATAATGTACAATAAAAGGATGATTTAATTGTGTATTGCCAAAGGTTTCTTGGGGAAAGCACCTGTCATATCGTTTGGACGTTGATAGGAAAAATGCAGGGATAGGTCATGATAGAGAAAGAGAGATTTTGAAACCCTAGAGATTATAAGCCACGCAATAGTCTCCAAGGGCCCTACCTCGTGGTATGCGCGCTTTTGAAAGCTTTTAGATGCATCTCCCCATCATATTGTAGTTATTGCCTAACCGTTTATACGCCCCAGTATTCCCTTGCCTACCACAGTAATTTAAATCGTAGATATTGCGGCCTAAAGACTTTTGCCGTGTATGTGTTTGACTTTTCATGTCCTTGGAAAGAGTCCACGATTCAGAAAAAGCCCGTGCTTTGCCTCACCAGTTTGAACAGGCGATTGAACCAATTTGAACCGATCAGGATCCTTGCAAGTTCGGGTAAAGCTTTAGGCGTGTTTTGGTTATGTAACAAAGTAATCGAGAAGTGAATTGGATGTTTCAAATTTTTAGTGAATTTTTTTAAAGTTACCGTTGTCTCAATAACGGCCTTGTTGCAGAAGTTTCCGCTTTGCCTCTAGTTTTAACATGTGATTTCTGTATACTTTCTTTAGAGATAAGAAAGAAAAAAAGCAATCAATCTAACCAGAAATAAATGAGTAAAAAATAAAATCCATGTCTATTCTATAAAATGCAAAGGAACTGGCGCTGCGAAAAGATTTGTTATTACCTTCCGCATTTTGTATTATTAAAGATACGGACACATTGGTTGCACGGTTGAATGGAGGACTCTTTGCAACGATGACAGGGCAAGGAAGTGGTAATGGGAAGAGTTTTATATGGAAAAGGAAAGCTTGTGAATTTTCCTTCGAGCTTGGAGTTTATCCTAGACGGTCACTTATATTGACCTCACATTTGTCAAGCAAAGACCTTAAAGCCACAGGGAAATTAATCTTCGAATTCAGACATGAATGTATCAAAACAACACGGATACAGATGCTCTCGTTTCTTCCATTTTAAGGAGGACGGCAGTGTCTCGATGGGAAATTAAGACAAGATATTACGCACTTAACTTGTAAGTCATTATTGTTATACACAGCTCATAACTGCCCTTTGCACACATCTCGTGGGATCACTTTTCTATGGTCGAACCTGCCATTTCCTCCTTTCTTTACATTTTCTTTTGATATTTCAAAACGTCGTTTAACCCAGGTTTCTATGGACTAATATCCATATCTCCTATCACTGTCGAAGTAGATATGAGGAGTAAAACTGGCACAATCCAGAAGGTTACTAAGTTCCTTTAAGTGACTACATAAGTGCTAAAGCCAACAACAGTATTTCGCAAGCTCCTATGCACTTACCTTTCGAATGAGATATTTAAATTCTCCACAAAATCAAGGTAAAAAAATATTTACACTTCAAATAAAGGGGATATTCGAGTAAAAATCAGTTGATGCTAAAAATCAGAAATAAAAATTTTGAGTGACGTTATGGTGACTCAATGACTTCAACCTCGTGTAAGTCAAATTATGCGGGCTGTTCAAGATGAAAAGCGGGCGGAAGTCGAAGTGCATGTGGTTAAGATACAATGTACTGTGCAGACGATCTTAACGACCAGATAAATATGTTTAAGTTTCTTGTCCCTGATGAAGAGCGTTTTGTTCTAATTAGACAATCCAGCTTTCCGAGGCATATCTTTAGAATGGTAAGTTGTTCGCATGGATTGGTGCCACCAATGTTGCAATCAAGGATCAACACGAATGAATTCCTCATTCTTAAGAAATGCCGAGGAAAGCTGGAAAGCTAAACGTTCAGAGGCTTTTGATTACACAACGAACCCGCATAAGCTGAACAACGCAAATTTGAAGATGTGGACATAAAGTCATCGAAACGTCATTTAAAATTGCTTGCACAGATTTTGTTTCAAATCATTTAAGTAAGAAGATGTTTAAATGTCGTTAAATTTTCTAGTTTCAGTTCTTGAATTACTCGAAATACGCGATAACAGGGTTCCTAACAACGAGAAGGTTTTGGCGTAGACTTTAAGCAGCCTCTTTTATTGTTACAGTTTTATTGCGTTAGGTTACTTTTAATCAAACAAAAGAGTAATTTACAATTTAGACAATGAACTGTAACCTGGTTAATTTAGGGTAGAAGGTGCAAAACCTTTGCAAACTGATGCATTTTTGTTGAGCGGTCCCTGTGGAACTACGAAACACTGCACTATTGTCGCACCTCGTCTGCATTTTGTTTGGGAGCAAATTCAAACAATGGCGTTTGCAGTGCCTGGATAAGAGTCTGACATTATTATAAAAGGTGACACGATTGGCTGTGTTTGGTTTTCATCGAATTTGATGGGAGATTACTTTTGCTTCTTTTTCTCCTTATTTCCATACCATTCTCTCATCTGTTTGCACGTTAATCGTTTAAATAAGCTGTCCTTTTTCTTGGCCTTAACATTCATTCCCATTAGATCTCCACAAACTCTGATGAGAATCTTGGTTTTCTTCTTCTTCTTTTTCTTCTTCTTCTTCTGAAGAGGCACACACCAAGGAGGGTACAGGGGCGGCCAGGTTTGCGTGCAGGGCCATGTCTGAGGCCAAGTCTGAGAACCTGTCTGAGGCCATGTCGAAGGAACTGGGGCTGATGATGTTAGCGGTATACACTTACCGACCCCAAAATGGTCGCTGCAGGTCATTTTGTCGCAGCATTCCCTGTCGCGATGGCAGATACCGTTCTCTGCCACGCACCATCGAAGAAACTAAAATGAAATAGAAGATGGCTTTAGAAGACTGAGAAATACTTCGATTTTACAGAGTAAAACTGGACATTAGAGCTTTTTGTCCTTCAAGAGGTGCTTACCATAAAGTTACAAGGGTAGGGTGAAAAGCGTTGCTTTTACCCAGACTATTTATTTTATTTCCAAAGTTTTATTCCGTGTAGTAACGAAAAGTAATGTTACCCACGCCCTAAGTTTTGTAATGAAGCCAAGAGCCGCCCACTTTTCTCCCATCCACGAATTTATTTTTACCTGTGACTGACAGTAAACTTCAACAATGAGCGCTAGAAGTGAAACACCAACTAAAAACGCGTTCTTCATCGCCATCTGAAAATGAAAATAAAATCAAGTTCGACAAAATGTTAAAAGGGGCTATTTTCTCTGAATCTTCCGTAGTTAGTATAGGGAGATACTGAATTCCAGTAAACATAATCATTTTTAGCAAGCCGAGCGGCCAATACCACCCAAGTATTTCGAGTGCGGTAAAAACTTTTATTATTCTGTCAGCATTTGTAAATTTACATAATTTTTACGTATTTGAAACCAAGTTTCTGTAACCATGTGATTTTTACTCAAAAAACTGAGTAACATCGACTATCACGGACAATCTAATGAAACTAAATTCCACTCTTGATGAGCTTTCTTCGGTAAAAATAATCTTTTGACGGAAAGATATTTATAATCTATCAAATAAATTAAAAAAACAACAACAAAAATAACTATTCGTAAATCCTAGGGAAGGCTGGTTGATTTAACCGTCAATATTAAAAGAGATTCAGTCACCATACCTCAATAAATTGAGTGGCTTGATGAAGAGACTTGCTTCTGAAAAAGCTGTCGTAATTTCTATTAACATTCCTGGTACCATTCAACTCTAACCCATACTTGTTGATCTTATCACTTTTTACCTTGTACCAGTCTATGGGAACATGTGGTTTTTTTTAAAATTATTTCTGGCGACATTTAATTCATTTTAGATGAAAGAAATTTAGCTCTAGAGTCGAGTTTGCGGTGATGGAATGAATTTTTTAGCTCAAAAGTCCATAACTAAGAAGCGAACTGTTGAAAGTCAAATACAAGATTAAATGAATCCGCTTGGTAGACCTCCGCATAAACATGATAAAATTAAATAAACAAATACTGAAGTTAACCGATTATGAGACGGAATCATCCTTTTCCTTAAAGCTGCCAAATGAAAAAGAAAGAAAGCTGAAATGTATCTTGTCTGTTTCCTTCTCGACAATCATTCAAAAATGGCTTGAAAATTAGCTCCCTCTGGATGTTTCTGAACTTTTTTTCCTAAAGTCTTCTTCCTATTGCACAAATTTTCTTCAATTCCTGAGGTATTTCATTTATTTACAATACGACTGATGAGAGTTTCATGTAGAAGTTTCGATAGGAAAAAATGGTTTTTGTTAGCATATGTACAACAAAAATCAGCTTTATGCTATTTCAGCTTTATGCTATTTCAATATGATGATGGAAAAAGGCGTATTTTCCACTTTATATGCGGAAAGGAGACGGAAATACAGATTTCTTAGGGACACCGCGGAAAGCACGGAATTAATTTCAATTGTAATTCAATTCAAATTTGATGGTTAGTTTTTCCTGAAGCGAAAGAAATTAAAATCGATATTAATTCATAAATTTTGTGTCATCTTTTCCATATAAGGCTAGTATTTCTAACCTATCGTTCAGCTTATTGTGAAGAGAGAAAGCTAAAGAGAGAAATTTTCAGCTACCAAGCTGAATACTGTACAGAGACAGTGACAAGATGGAAAAACAAGCCTCCGCCATTTTCCCTAGATGTCTCATTTACCTTCTGGTTTGTGTCTTGATTATCTCATCAGGTACATTACTTTTCTTTAGCGACAAAGAGTTTTAACTAAGTAACTCAGGGTAGCACAATTTTTATAAGCTATCGCCAATTCAGCCTCTGAGAACTCAAAACTGGATTTTATTTGGACTATTTGCATTCATGCATGATTTGTTTATCTCCTGATCCAGTTTGCTGCATTCTTTACTGTTCTATTTGGCTCTGTGTGATTATAAGTTTAAGAGTCATTCTCTCCAATTACGTACCAAATCTTTCTGTAACAAGAAGTCATCGTGGTGGTTGTTATATGTCAACAAGAATTCGTATTCTTATCAAGTCCCGCTGTTTGTAGATTCATTCGGTGTCGCGATTAACCCTCACTCGACTTACTCATGCTAGCGATGAACTTTATCGTATTATCTGACAAAAAAAATTATTTTATCCAGAATAGAGAAATGGCTGAATTCTTTATTGGATCACTCTTGTAAAACGAAGTTCTTTTTTATTGATGAAACCGAAAAGTAAATTGTTCGGGTCTTGAAATTAATGCCGAGCGGAAAGTGAACACCGCATAGCTGTTTTTTATTATAGCATGAAAACTAAATACTATCAGCCTATTTTAATATTTGATTTCGTAAACGAAAGGCTAAAAAGCCGCCAATAGCTTTCGACATCAACTGAGGCTGTCACAAAGCTTTAGGAATGCTTCCCAGCGTGTTTTGGTTTAGGCACTTCATTTAATCCTTAATCTAGTTGTGCAATGCAAAAAAAATCCATACTTGCGCCGGTTATCTAAGAGAACTAACTACATCAATTATTCTATTTTGTAGGTGCTTCGAGTTCTCCTATCTACGTTTCTCACACTACAGGTGCAAACAGTCCTCGCTGTGGCTCACCGTACGACCCTTGTAAGACACTAGATTATTCTTTGAAAAAGAGGGTCATGTACGGTGGATTTCTTATCCTGAATGGAACAGACTCCAGAGAAAATCGCTACAAGTGTGGTCCAGAAAACAGCACTAGTGCTTTGATTATAAAGAATTTAATTATCTCCAGCTTGTTTGCGCCTGCGTATATCTCATGCGAGATTCGGTTCACATCGATTCAACCTGGACGAACGGGCATGCACACTTCCCCAACCAAAGGATCTTATTCCTTTCCTGCTACTGGTGACGGACTCAAGACAGACTCTGTACCCACGATTACCATGAAGAATTTATCATTTGTTCAATCTGGTGTTACCTGTAATGGAACGTGTAACTTAGAAGTTGAGAACTCGTCATTCGATCAAAGCGGCGTTACCTGTAATTACTCATGCTCTGTGAAAGTATTGAACAGCACCTTTGCAAACCCTACGATGGTGCCCGTTCAGTCTGGTGTCGCCTGTTACGACAGTTGCCGTTTGGAAGTTGTGGATACTGTATTCGTGCAAGCCAGTCTTATCTGTAACGGAGCATGCTCCATGAACGTATCAAATAGCAACTTTACCAACTCAACAGTTATTACAGATGTCAACACCGGGCAAGATTCGAAGGTGATATCAATCACCCATTCGCGTTTCATCCGGAAAAGATCACAGCCATTTATCAAATTTCGTTCTCGGGCTGACTTCGTGTTAGAAATTGATAACTGCACTTTTCGAGATAATCACTCGCTTCCTTTTCCCGATTATTTGATAGACGTCAATTCCAGTTCGCTGTCAGTTGGTAGAGTGGTTTTCCACAGAAATAATTTTATTACCATCTTTGGACATGGCATCAACCTGTGCGGCTGTTTTAAGTCGATTTCACTAGAGAATCTGTCAATAATTAACGTGGAGTCATTCATACTCAAAGTCAGTGATAAAACGAGTTCTACTTGTCGGCTCAGAAGAGTCACTGTCCAAATGAACAACTGTTCAGTACATGGCACAATTGCAAGTAAGAGGGCTAATTCTCCTGCAATTGACATTGCAGCACGTGAGATGAAAATGTCGATGAATTACATGCAGTTCCATTCAAACAATCGATCTTTGATCTCCTTTTCTGCGAACAATGGAAGTTTGACCATCAACAATTCAGACTTCGCAGATAACTCCAAGCAAGATGTTTCTCATTTACTTTCAATTTCACCTTACAAGGAGCGAAACAACCCACTCAAAACTACGAAAGGGGAACAAGATAGCGTAGCTGGCAGCATCTTTTTTAATCTTCAAGGCACAAAATTCTCTCGCAACAGAGTACTAAAGTCGATAATAACACTCGAAAAAACGTCAGCAGCGTTGTCAAATGTTACTTTCAGTAATAACACTGTTGAGGGGCTCGGTGGGGACATTCACATCAAGGACCATGTAATAGTAATACTTAACAACAGTCGATTCGAGCGTTATCCACGTGATTATTTTGCATCAGCTTTTGTCTATTCTGATGTGAACTCAAACTCTTCTGTGAATATCACCAACTGTCGTTTCAAATCACACTTTGAGGTTGACGCAAGCGTGATATTATTTCTGAGATCTGGGATAAGTCTCCGTATTGATAAAAAATCCGACATAACGTGTCCACTGGGTTATTTCTTTGAAAACGCGTTTAACGTTAGCCTTTCAGGATCAACCATAGAAGATACCTACAAACTTACTTGCAAGAGATGCTCCGACGGATTGTATAACCTTCAGCAAGTGTACGCAATTCTTGATATTTCTGATACTTCAGTGGACGAGCAATGTATCCCCTGTCCCTACGGGGGCAACTGCACTCGTGAGATCGAAGCAAAACCAAACTTCTGGGGATATCTTGAGCCAAAAGATCGTCGACCAACCGTGAAATTTGAGATTTGTCCTCTGGGATATTGCGAACCAAGCCCAAGAAGCTTTAATAGTTGCCATGGCTACAGGACTGGCTTCCTCTGTGGTCAGTGCAGAGAAGGCTATACGGAAGCCATGTTTTCCTCTGAATGTCATGAAGAGGAAAACTGTCACAACAACTGGTTTTGGTTCTTTAGTCTCGTATACATTACTTGCTTGTCATTCCTTCTCATCACACGACCTTGTATATTTCAAATTTTATGGCGAAATGCTACGTGGTTTCGACCCAAAAATCACGGACGTCAACCTTTACAGTCTTTGCACTCATCAGATGAGCAGCACTATAGCGGCAAGCATTTCGATCATGCACTTGTGAAGACGATATTTTATTTCTATCAAACCGTAGAATTACTTCTAATTTCCACCTCGCCAGAAGATCTGATGAACAAAGTAACATTTGTACGCCCGTTCATATCTCTGTTTAATTTTGAGATATGGAAGGAAAACTTTGGTTGTCCTTTTCCTGGGCTCACGGCAGTTACCAAACGACTGTTCTCCAGTTTGACAGTTTTTGGAACAATTGCTTGTATTTCGTTGATTTGCATCAGTCATAAAGCAATGAGTTATAATGGTTGCGTCGACCATCCACGTGTCAACCTGTATCTGGCAGCTATAGTAGAAACGTTACTTCTTGGTTATGAAAAGCTTACAGATGTGTCCTTGAATCTGATGAACTGTATCCAGGTGAAATCAGAATGGCGTCTTTTCCTGGACGGGAACATCCTTTGCTGGCAGTGGTGGCAGCATGCTCTGCTTTCCTTTATCATGGTGTTTGTCGTTCCTTTTATATTCGTCCTATTCTGGGGCTCAAAGAAATTGAACGAACGCATAATATCAACCAAAGAACTGACCATGGCATGTATACTGCCTTTACCGTTCCTACATTACTGGGTCGTTCAACTCTGCATCAAAAAGGAACCTACACAAGTACACCATGAGGGAGCTGAAGAAATCAAAGAGGTCCTTCACGAACCATTTCGACCACCTGATGAAGACGATGAAGGGACATTGTACTGGGAAAGCGTTTTAATAGCGCGGCGTTTGGTTCTCTTGTGTCTGCATTCCTTCCTAGCTGATCCTATGTTGCGTCTCTTATGTCTTACCTTTGCATGCTTGGCAATTTTGCTGCATCATCTGTACAAGAGGCCTTTCAGAGACCCAATAGCCAACGCTTGTGAAACATTTTCTCTAATCGCCTTGGTCATCATCTCCACCTTTAGCTTGGCTGAGGCGTCTCTAGTGTCCGAAGGAACAGAAATTGGTGGTCCAAGAGAAAACGTGTTCAAAGTGCTTCAGTGGATTGAGCTCGCTTTACTCGGAGTTGTACCTGCATGTCTCTTTATGTTGGTGTCTTTGGTGGTCCTGTCGCAGCTTTTTCGTTTATTCTTTCACGTCGTCATGTGGGACCAGAGGCAACCGCAGAGGTTGAACAGGGTCTGGCATTTCCCTGTCGATTCATCGAGGCCACTCCTTTATTCGTCTCCAGCTATGTATTGAATGCTGGTACATTCTAAACACATTTATGCCAGCAATTATTTAGAGTATTATGAGCTTTGAGGCTCAAAATCTTATCGTGTTTCGGTAGGATGCACGATCTCACTGTAAAAGAAAGAAACAGATGAGGTTACGTTTGTTGTGAGCAAGAAATTTTCATGATATTGGGACCGCTCAGTATTCCTTTGAAAACATTTTCCGACGGTCTGTTAGTTTAATTACCACTTCATGAAAGTATCAATAGTTGCATTACCTCTCAAGAAAATATTATTATTGCCTCAACACCAAAAGTGAGTTATTAATTGTTTGTGGGTTTGGCCCGAACAGACCTTTCGGGTACCATCTCGAGATCATGCCCATAAAATTTTCTAACGACTTTTCCTTTTTTTTCAGAAAATCTACCTAAAATTGATTAGGTAGTTTGGAAAACATTATGGAAAGGGGAAATTTTGTCGGCAACTATCTTAGTTTCTTTTTGTAACATTTTCAAAGCCCTCCTTCTTGTACAGCAACTTTAAAAAATCCAGATTGGTTAATAGAAAGGCCATTAGTTGAGAAATCGAAACTTTCCTGTTTTCATATAGCAGTTATAAAAGACACGCAAATAAACGCGTTGCCTGCTCAGGGATCAGCCATTATTTATCGATCGTTGGAGAGGGGGTGGAGGATTTTGGCCATGTCACGATACAACTCCTGCTCACCCCATAAGGCTCTAAAACGATATTTTGATTCCCCCCCCCTTCCCTACCCTATATGCAGTTAATTGGCAATCAACTTTCTATAGTCCTCCTTTATACTATATTGACCACAACTGATCCCTCTCTGTACCGCCCCCCCCCAAAATAAATCGTGTGACCCCCCCTCCCCTTCATGACTGGTCCCTGAGCTCGTGATAATGAATATACAATAGTTAACAATATTTTCGAAAATAGATGACTTCACCTATTATAATAATAGTAGAAACGATGTATTTGAGTGTCGCCCTTAGACACTAAAGGGGGGGGGGGGGGGGGGGGACAGAGGACAGCATCTGCAAATCTTAAGATGTATATGAAAAATATCATGATTTCAAAGTTCTTAAATTTTCCCTTTTGACAAGATTGATCCGTGGAAAATTTTTCGGAGGTGAAGTATTCCGCAGCTAAGTTTTTAGGTGACAACAGAGCCGATCTTCATTTCTTAAAAAAGGGCATTTCTTATCTATATCAGATAGCTCTTTATTACCATGCCAGATCTGATTGTAACACGAGAAGTTCTCTATGGTAAATTCTCAAGACCGATTATGAGTACTTGGTCACAATTTGCCCATATCATCGACTGTAATGACGACAGCGTCGTAAGATTAACGATTTATAAGTAGAAAGTTATTGGAAACTGTTCATGAGAAAATGGCGCATGTCTTCTTCTAGCACCAGGGACTTTCGATACTGCTTCTAACATCGAAAATATGCTCTTTCCACATGGGGGGGGGGGGGGGGGGGGCTTTATCTAGCTTAATACTAAGACAATCGTGCTTCAGCTGTCCATTTGCTGCTAACTACAATGGAGACTTATTGTCGTGCTCCGTATTCCGATGGTCTCAATGGGGTTAATGGGGAGCCGTACAACGGCAAAACAAAACAGATACAAGAAAATTAGCCGTTAGGCTTAGAAATTGGAAAATTTTAACCGCTAGTCGTAAGAAAAGTTGGTTGGTTAGTTTTTCCTTTCTACAATATGTCATTTTTTTGCCATCTTAGCCGGTCAAACGAAGCCGTAAAATGGACAAACGTTTTCCATGAAGGCCATCACCTCTATTCCCAGCATGGACTACTGAAAAAATTGGCTTTGCGCCAACAATCTTAACCTTAGTAGTCTTAATAGCGTGCTGAGTTCCTTTGTCGGTTTGTAGTAAATAAGCTATGTGCAGATTAAGCGATGGCAAGGAATATTTAAATTCCGCAAATATTTTCAGCATACTCCCACTGACAGAACCAACCTCCCCATGACACTGTTTACGCCCTTCATTTAGGTGGGAGAACTTCCTCTGTCTAAGTTCTCAGTATGGTTAATCTCGTATGAGACGGTGTTTTGATCTCAATTCTTTATGATATAATGTACCAAAGGATACGAAAGCTTTATATTTTAAATATATTTTCTTGACCTAATGCGTGTTACAGTTTAAGCTTAATACAAAACGAGGCTTCTATCAATGACATCGATCGCGCTAAACTTCACTGAAAAATGTAAACGTATGAAAGTGCGGTCAAGCTGATTGAGTAAGATTGATCTTACATCAATATGCTACCCAACAGCAGTCGTTCTCAGACTGCTCTCTTTCTGTATTGCTCATGAGGGCACCTTAGTCACGTGATCCTTTCTGACCAATGAAAAGGGATGACAAAGAAACGCTTGAACAACCGCGATCCTCTTGTTTGAACATAGTTATAAGAGTTCCGTCTATGTTTAGCCATTTCCCTGAGCAGAATATTTAAAATATTATCGAATTTTCTATAATTTCAAAGCCTGTTTATCTCTCACTATGTCTTCAAGCTTTGGCCAGAACAGGTGAGTTTGACATGCGGTTCGTTTTTCATGCGATTTTGATGTGATATTGCGGTTCAGAACCATCATACACTCCCTGGCAACGCTATGGCGTTTTATGTCGGTGACGATGACTAAGAAGTTTTTGCAATTACTTGTCATCCACAGCGCTTGGACCATGGGTGGACCGCCTGGAAGGTAGATGTTACTTACTTCTGCTCATAATGTACATTTACCAGTGTTAAATACCGATTTTGTTCGCGATGTGGCATTGCGCAGAAATGAATTTATGTCCTAAGTTAGCTCTCTCATTCAATCGCCGGAAAAGAAGTGAAGTCTGCCGATTTGTGTTTTTGAAATACACGTTGGAGTGTTGATTTGTCGTTGATCGAATTTTCCACAATTTTGAGGAATATGTTTAAAATGCCGAAAACTATTTACGGTTATACTTTGAGTGCATAGCATATGTTTCTTAGAAGTGCCAAACATTTCCTCGATTCAGCCATGATAATCTGCGAGCAAAACAGGTTATGAAGTGTCAGGTGTTTTCATTGATTGTACAGCGAAGCTCTTGTATTAAGACTATCTTCTCTTGGATTGTTCATTCACTTACTGTTTCAAAGTAGGCCGTTTTTTTTGCTACCACAGAAAATCCCCAACTCAAGTTGTGTCTTGAGCTCCGATTACTCTTTTCCGCTTTAGCATTAGCCTAGAGAGTTGCAGGTAACCTAGCGCAGGTAAATGTCGTGCAAGTTTTCGGTGACTTACCTTACATTCACTCTTGCTAAGCCTTCAAATGGTTGCTGACCAATATTTATCAAATTGTTTGATACAGTTTGATTTCGAGTATTCATTTGTGTACCAACAGCCGTTAATTCTTGAATTTAATAAAGTGTTGTTTTGGCTTTTTACGTTATAATTTGGGTTGAAAAGTTTGAAAAATTGGTTTATAGCGCTAATTTTTAGTAGCCTTAGACGATTCCTTTGACTGAAACCTTAATTTAGTATCGTGGGTCGATGCGATTTGTTTTGGCCATAGGCGAACTAGGGGGCGAAAGGTGATATCATTGAAAGGGTTTACCGTTTAAGGAGTAGAGGAGTAAAAATCTTCGTTTAATCATGCATTAAATCTCTTACAATTTTAAATACGTCCTGAAGTATTCACTCTGTGGATAAGTACGTAATGTATTTTGTTATGGTTAAAGTAATTATTACACATTTGAATCTCAGTCAGCTACTGCCTCTTTATATATACAGTAAGCATCATGAATCCTATCCTGTATCTTTACCTTTCTACTCTTTCAACGCATGAAGAGTAAGTGTTTATAATTTCTCTATTGCAAGCCATTGCTACAACTCTTGGTTTTAATATATAATTTTTAATAGAGAAGAGGGAAATCTGTCAGTAGGCTTCTGCTTCTCAAACTGCAGACTGTAACTGAACTAACTGTACAACCAGATTCAGTACAGAACAATTTTCCAAGTGAAGGGCACCATGGCCCATGTGACTTCAATTGCAATGCTTCATTGCACGTAATTGAAACATTTTTAAATAGTTCTGAGTTTCCCCTACTCCAGAATTGTTGTTCTGTTTTAGCCTTGGAGTATTTGAGTTTCATTTGAGATCTGCCACTGATATAAGTAACTGTTTTAAAGTGCCTTATTTGTCACATAACTTAACTCATTAGTCTATTCTTTTGGACAGTGCAAATTCTCCCTCTCTTGGTAAGGATGCTCATAGAACTGTTCCTTAGGACAGCATGGATTCTTGACAGGATTAAAGAGACAGAAACGATCTTCATTGTTTACTCGCCCCTCTTTCAGATCATATCCCCAGAGAGTCTTCTCCATTTACTTCTTGATTTCCTTGCCTTGCTGGTATATTTGTAACATGTACGTCATATATATGCTTGATGTAATCCCTCACTGCTCAGCTAGAGATTCACAAATTTGATTGATTTCTGCCCATGTGTAAATGAAAATTTAGATTGCATCTCTATTATCTTGAGTTTTCATTATGTAAGCTATCAGTTATTTAAAGGATTAATATTCCCAGAGTAGTGTCTAAAATCACTGGTTAGTCTGCCATCTTAAGCTGGCTACCTAAAATTCATTTTACCATATACATGCTTTTGAAAAATCAACAATTCTTGAGTCATCATCAAACAAATTTGTATACCAGCCATTTACTAATTTTCTCAGTGGCATTGAAAGCATGATGTATGTGTATCAGTAACAGTTCTAGATGTGTGAATCATCACTACAATCAGAATTTGCTTGAAGGTTGATGTGAACATTGTGGAGCAATGGGAAACTTAAGCTAATTAGTATTTCCTAGTCTTTCATGTACCGGTAGTTTGAGGAAATAAAGTGGTATCCATGAAAATCCGGCTCCTCACTCTTTCATATCTACAGTGTGCTTTCAAACTTGTTATCAGCTCTGTAATTGTTCTAGTTTTCAAGAATTTCAGAGTGTTTTAGAATTTGTTTTAGAGTATTTACCATTTAGGGTATTAACTAGAGTTTTGGTAATTGTTGGCAAAAAAGAATTTATGATGTTTATATAGCTTTGCATGTTTTTTTCCTCCCAGACAAAACAAAAAACTGGTATTTAAAGGGTAGAGTGACCCCATTGAAACCTCAAAATTGAATTAACAAAATGTTCAAAAGGTGTTTATTTTTCATTTAGTGAATTTTTAATGATATTACTATGATGTTTAAAATTTATTTTCAGCAAATTTATACACAGCTCTGTGGAAGAGAAAATTTGAAATATTCATTTGCCTCAATGACTCCTAAAGAACTAAATTTATTTCCAATTGGACTTGCAAGCATCCAGGTGCTTCCTGTTAAGAGAGAAGTTCCTGTTTCCTCATGTTCAGAATGTTTTTTGTTCATCTTCATTAATTAAATGGTTGTTGTTCCATAAGATGTTATTTCTTCAGATTTATATCTCTAAGTAAAAGTGAGACAACCTTTAAAAAATTATGACTAGAAGAAGGAAGAAAGAATCACTTTTAAGGGTGTCTGTTTTCCTTTGTAAATTTCTTAAAAACCATCTTTTTCTGTGAAGTATTCAGAATCAAAATAAATCTTATTCTGAACTAAGGGAAAATGGACATCAACTGCTTATATAAAACCAATTAAAGAGAAAAATCACAACATATTTTGTCTGCAAGAGAAATAACAGGAACTATTCCATATTTACTCTCTTTACTTGTTCAGTAGTCTACCTTTTATGACTGAAAAATCAGCCCAAAAAATCACCTTCAACTTATACACAAGTCATACACAAAGACCTGACCCAAGCAATCCAAGAAATTAGTATAACAATTGCCTGAAGTCTGTTAGGAAAACCAAGCTTATGAAACCATTTCTAATTGTGTTTGAGTTTCGTCAGTTTTCAGCGCATTCTTCGTCAACCAAAAGGTATGAAATAATAAAGTGGCTTAAACACACACCTACTGGAGCTGATTTCCATTGTGTCTTCTGATCTATAGAGCAGATATTTTTTCATACAGCTTGACTACTGTTTATGGTGCTTTCATGAAATAATTACGTGCAGTCTTGTTTTACATGGTTACATTTTGCTCTGCAGTCTTTTTAATTCACTGTGTTTTCAATACATTCTCAGAAATAAGGGATTAACTTTTTGGGAAATTTCTATTGGTCTGAATTTTACTTCTTCAACTAGAAATGATGAAAAATCTGATTTTGGCATTGAAAATGGAGGGTCAACTTATACACAAGTTTGCCTCATACACAAGTAAATACAGTACGTAACAAAACATGTCTTACAGCCAAAAAAGTCCTGGGGCTGAAGCTCTGGTAAGATAGTTATGGTATTATCAACTGATCAACTGCCTTGCATTTTGCACAGCTGTTTTGAGCTTAAGAATCAGTTTTTAGTAAACCATGAATTAACTAATGACCATACCTTGGGATGACATGGTCATCAGTAGGCTTAGGGCAACTAAGATTACTTGCTAATAGTGAATAATGATTGCTACACGTATGTGTACTTGTTGATCAAATCTTTTTTACAACTTATATTCCTTTCCAGTTGCATTTGCTATCAACTTGTGAACTGCTTATAATTTGTGTAAGACTCTGAACAGACACTTTCAATTTACTCTTTGTGAGAACATTTTAGTGTTCTGTTCTTTGCATCAAGATGTTGTTACTAGAAAGTGCTTTTACCAGGATGATATACAAAATTACATGTAGTGTTGCTTAAGACAGAAGCTGCTTTGACTTGGACTCAATATTACTATTATGTACTATTTTTTCTGCATTTCAAGCAGATTAGTCATCACAGTGTTTTTTAATTAAGATAAGAATTATTATGTACATTACTGTATATTCACAGTTTATAGTGTTTTTGTCAGAATGCAGTAGATTTTTCCTCAAGCTCTTACATGCACTATGCATGATTGTGTGAAAAGAGGGCAATTTTTTGTTGAACAGAAACATGAAAATTGTCTTGTCCAATTTAATCGGAAGGTAAATCTTACTTTCTGAGGAATAATTGCTATAACTCCTGGAATTCTAAATTTATTTTTAATTACATTGTCATGAATATTGGTTGAAATGTGAGCCTGAATGTTTATCTAAATGGTCCTCTAACATGGGGTAAATAAAAATTTGATATTGGTCAAAGGTGCAGTGTGATTACCAGCTACATGCTTTACTATTCAGTTACAGAGACCTCATTTGAAGTAAAGGCTATACAGAGGATTTTTTCCCCTTGATTGAGTGAACTTAGAGTAGATATAAACATTTGATCAGGTTAATGTAATTGTTCTCCAATCTTCAACGATAGTCTGAGATAAAGGGAAACGCAAATCACAATTGCAGAACAAAATGAAATTAACCTTGTTTTATTTAATTTAGAGAAAGCTTTGAACCACAAGGTGTAAGATATCTTAATTGTCTCTCTGAAAGATAAGTGTTTATTTTTTTATATTCAATAAGTCTTTGGTGCAATACTTTACAGTGTCTATGAAGATGATGTACCTCAGGTCAATCCGAACAGTGTCCGTGAAAGGAAGTTACAACAGCAGGTATGTACTGAACATTTGAGTGTTTTAACTTCTATTTACACATTTGATGCATTTGACATTGCTTATCATGGCATTCTGTAGAATGCGTGTCACATATGAACATACATGTAGAAATAGCCTCGCTCACCACAGAGAGTGGCTCAGTGGTAGAGCAACAGAGTGCAGAATCTGAAGGTCTGAGGTTCAATTCCTTATTTGGGACTTGGAACTTTTTCTTTGTCCCATGCTTGGTGCATTAGTCCCAAATCATCTTTCTTTGATTGAAAATCATCTCAAAGAACAGAAATGGCGCTCATCCTACAAGTGTGCTTATTTAGTATAACTTGGCCTTGAAACTGTATGACTACCTGCCCAAACAATATGAAATGTTGTTGTCTATGTTACTTCTCAGAGAGAAATTATGCGGAAAAAAAATGAAATGAAGCGAGCTCAACCTGGTAAGTTTGACCATGGTAGATGTATCTGTATGCTACTGAATTGCATATAGTTAATGTTGTGGCATAACATACATGTATAATGAAGTTTGAAGTGAGTTTCAGGTCAAATTGCATCGAACTTGCATCAGTTACCTTAATTTTGTTTCATCCCAACATATTTCCATAATTATTGTTTGTAAGAAAATTGCTCATTAGACCAGCATGAATGCTTTTAAACCTGAAAACTGTTTTTTTTTACATTCAGGAGTGTATACATGTATGTAGCATACTATAACAATTAACACATGTATTACATAGTGCTCACCAGTGGGAAACGTTCTCAGGTCAGCACAGTGCTTTACAGTATTATAATAATTGTTGAAATTATTATGCAATGTTTGGAAAAATAAGAACAACCAAAAAATTACAGAATTTTCAAGGTTAGTTTTTGTTTGGAAACTGTTCACATTGGGAAACTTGTAAGATGAAACTTGCTGATTTGTATTTTCTCAGTTAAATTTTTCTCTTAATAATTGGTCTGTATTGCCTTCTTGTAAGTTACATGTACTCTGTAGATCTTCCCATTTTTTACTGCTTTAGACTTTTCTTGATAACCAGATGTATGTAGTTAACAACATTGCATAATTTGTGCACAAATGACAGTAATTGTGAGCTGGAAGTGTTACTTGTAGAACCAATCAGATGAGTGCAAATTGAAAACATGGTTAATTTAGAATATACATGTAGGAACCAATAATAATTTTCTAGCGATAATTGCCTTCTTGTTTGAGCCTGTTAAGACTTTTATTTATTTACTTTGTTATTTAATTATTGTGCTCTTTTCATGTTTGAATTTACGTTTTACCTAGTGCATGCATTACATATGAAGGTGTTCCTTTCCAGAAGACTTGAATTGTTCAGGGTTTTTCACAGCAAACATACTGCTAAAACTGGCTGTTTTATTTCATTTTCATAAAGAGCACTCTGGCCAGCTATCTTGTTCATTAGTGTACATTGTATGTGAGTATATTTCAACCTACCCTTTTGCAGAAGCAGCTGCAGATGTACACACTTACTTACTGTGTACATGTATGGAAGTGAAATTTGGAAATGCACTGCAATGAATGTGTGTATATAACATGGAACCAATGCACTGGATAAATTGGAGTGCATGTATACTGTCTTATAGTTTATGCACTAAAAATAGATGAATTTGTCTAGTAGCACATGAACTGAATTGCTATCACAAGACCAAATTTCTTTTGTAATTGAACACTTTAATTAGCTTTGAAATATTCAATTCTAGACATTTTCTGTTACAATTAATTTAACTTGATGAAAAATGTAAAATAATATGCAGTGTCAGGTGGTTTGCTAAATTGAAGTAAGGCACTGTTATTTTAAAATTCCTCAAAAGGCACACAATGTTTACAATAAATGGGTGGAAAAGTACAAAGTGGATGGTAAATTGTAATTATTCTATTGCACACTTCTTCAGTTTATTTAATATGAAAAATTTACAGTGTCAACTGTAGAAGGTACAGTGTGTACACCTATTTCAAACTGCACAATTCTTTTACTGTATATTTTGTGCTTCAAATTAGGAAAGTAATTAGAATAAGGATCATGTGGACTTTGAAATGAATTTAACAATTCACCATAGAGGAAATTTCCCTATATTTCTTACAAATATTTCCCTAAGGCATTAATTACTCATTAAAATAATTTTCCTGCAAATGAAGTGTATCTCATGATTTACGATGTATACAAGGATTATAGTTACTATCCCTTCATTTTTGCAAGACTCAGTGTACCTACTATACCAACAAACAAAAGACCTGCGTGGAGATTTTTCTTTATAATGGATTATTAAAAACACAAGTAATCGACACATAAATGATACAAATTGTGTACTGTTTCAGACTACTGGCTTGGACAAAATATGATTTTTGAAGATATGCAAAAAAATCAATTACATGTTTACCAGTGATCCACCTAAAGATTGAACAATCTGATATTAGGTAAAACAGGTGCACAAGGTGAAGGAACAAAGAGTGAGGATGTCAGTTTTTTTGACAGAATACATAATTTTTAATTTCTCACTCTTTGTGGAAAAAAAGTATGGTAATGTGAGGTGAAACAGAGCAGAACATTTTGTATATGTATCTATTGGTGCTTTAGGCGATGAAAACTCACTTTTAAGATAAATGTAAATAATTTTATCATCAGTATTAAGATACATAATTAACTTTAACCAGATCTTACTATTTACAACTATGTCGATTCTTTCAAGGTTGTGGATTGATCATGTCACAGCCATTTTTTACCATGCATTATTGTGTTGTACTTGTTCTTTAGAATAAAAAGGTAAAAATTAATGAGTTAAATGTACATGTATCTACATGTTTAGTTTCTGTAGGCAGCAGCTACCTTTGTTTACATGTATTTTTTGGAATGAAAAAGAATCACTAGACTTAAAAGCAAATTGATGGGGAAGATAAAACTTTTCATTCAGATGGTAACATTATTCATTTTTATTTCTGATTACACATTTCCAACAGATAACTTGTTACTGGAAATGTTTGTTTGACTGTTAAACATGGCTTGATCCCTCTTTGTTTTTGATGGATTTGGATGTTTGGTGAATTAAACCTTAGTTTAAAGAGAAAATGTGAACAAGTATTTGCTGCATACAGTACTTGCATTTATCACTGTTTCATATGCAGTTATAGTTTCATTGACATTTTTATTTGGTTAAAGGAATGGTCCAAGCCAATGATGTTGCACGTCCAAAGTCCCGCCATTCTGAAAGAATGCCCCTTGTTCTGGGTGGAACACAACTACATGGTGAGACATTGATCAGTGGTTTATATTTTGATGGCACACCAGTATATGTGGGACTCTGTCTTTTATCGGCTAAAAAAACTATGCAGTTGTAAATACACTACTCCAGGAGGATAACCTTGGTGTGAGCAGGATCATTATCATTATTATAATCCTAGAGATAATTTTAATCATAATAATACATTTATTATGATTTAACTTAAAAAAAATCATTAAGTTTGTTTACATAGCAGTTTGATGTAACTATACTTAAAATATTCAAGATAATTTCTCATAACTTTGCAGTTTGAAGTCCTTGTGAGTGCCCCATTATATACAACTGTCCTAATTATTTGTTTGTGTATGTGTTTTATTAATATTATTATTATTATTATTATTATTATTAGGTATAGATGGTCCAGTAAATAACTACACTGCTCCACCAGAACCTGTCGTGGGTGGTTTACTTGTTAATGTTGGATCAGAGGAAGAAGAAGAACCACTTCCACGTGCAAAAGTGAGTTGCAACACTGCTTTCAGTATTTTTTAATTAATTTATCTAAATACATCTTTTTTGGATCATTATCATGGTTTGTAACAAATGTGCCAAAAAAATACATTTAATTATCTCTTGCTCACATGTGTTAGGTGTGCTGTGTGCTTTTCTTCTCTGTTACAGTTGGAGGGGTGAAACTTTAGATGCCCTTAAAATGCAAAGTTCATGAAGTTTCACATTTGTTCATTTTGCATATCAATAAGACAAGTGTGTGAGAAGCAAGTAGGGTGAATTGCTGGAATATTTTAATTAATTAAAATTTGAGAATCAGTTACACTAAGAAAAAATGAAGCCATCCAATGTTTGAACATAGGGATTCTAGGCTGTATAGTTGTTTTCTGAATTTTATGATAGGTGCTGGAAAACACCATTTTAAATTTTTCATGGAATTCTTCATGATTCCCCTTAATTTTGACAGAGTGGAATTTGATCATAGTAGCACTTTTGGTATACCTGAAACCAGCAAATCTTGCCATCTAATGGTGGTTATTTGATACCTTGAATTTTAAGCCTCTTAGAGAAGACCCACTACTTGTAGCTTCAGAAAAGTTAACTCAAGACTTAATCTTCTGTTTTACATGTAGTTTACTTGTAAATGAAAGGACAAACTTAAGCATTTTTAGAAGAGTATGGTAACCTAATGACAATGTACATTTACCAAAGCACCATGAAAAAATTAATTTTGACTATTTCCAAAGTGTTTTTTTAAATTTGATCATAGTAGCACTTTTGGTTTACTTATAAATGAGGTGACAAGGTTTGGCATTTTTAGAAGAGTATGGTTACCTTATTACAATGCACATTTACCCAAGCACCATGAAAAAATTAATTTTGACTATTTCCAATATATTTTTTTTTTTTAACAGCAAACAACTGATACAGAACGGAAATTAGCAGCAATGGGCATATCATCTAGTGCTGATTATGCGGGAATCAAGGACGATTTTGATGAACCAGAGTATTCCTCTCAAGTGATAGCACCTGCAAGGGCAAGAACCCCATCTCCAAGCTTCCAGTCTAATGCGCCTCCACCCTCATATGACTCTGTGACAAAACAAAAAAAGGTACAGCTGTAGTAAACTTTAATAAAGTTTTCTCTCCCATTAGGATTAGTGCATTTAATATGCCAGTGATGTTCCAAGGGGATTTATTAGGATATACATGTTTCCCTTTTGGGTTTGTTTATTTTTTCTACTATGTACTATGCAATATAGACTCTTTTGTGAAGACAAATTTCAGGTTCATCTGTACTACTTGTGATAAGCAGGACTTTGTACTGCGAAATGAGGCCTGTGTTGATTTAGTCTTACCACTTAATGTTTTAGTTATCTTAGTGAACTCTGTTTAAAAACACTCCTGCCAGAGGGACATCTTCCTACTTACACTGTTTCAGTGCCCAAAGCATTTAGTTAAAAGATACATTTGGAGTCATGTGATGAACTGAAGTTTTTGAAACTACTTTGTCTTTTTTGTGAAGTTCTGTTTGGCTAGCTATTTCTTAAAAGCACTCTAAAGTTATTACATGTTTAAAAATATGTACACACATGTAAAAAACCTCTAGGTCTGCAAGTTACATGATTGTGTACATTTTGCCCGAATTCAAAGGTACCACCCAGTAATGGAGAATCACCACCAAATACAACTACAACAACACCTAGCGCAAATTTTGAAATGATTGATGATCTTGATAAGTTTGTGTTTCGGTAAGTTTGAATATTAATAGTAGGATTGAACTTCTTTGCATTATCTTGGTTAAATTTCAAACTCAACCAATAAAGACAGAGTAATTGTTATTTATTAATTTGGAGTTCATGTGAAGAATATGAGGAAATTCCTCAGCTGTAGGAAGTAGGAAGTATGTAGGAAGTCAATCATGCTAGTGCACAGTAAAACCATTCAAAAATCAATGTTTCCAGTAGCAACGCAACATTTCATTTTCTGTTCTTTTCAGTCAATTAGTTATTTTTGTTCAATAGACCTGCCCAGCCAGATGAACCTCCAATTAAATGTAGAATAACAAGAGACAAGAAAGGAATGGATAGAGGGATGTATCCAACTTACTTCCTACACATGGAGAAAGATGATGGCAAGAAGGTACTGCATCTAGTATTTAATTGGCTTGATCATGACAACATTGAGTTAAGAAATAATTGTTTTACAACTGAAAGCAAACCTTAGACTTACACTTGATTCATTGTGTAATTGATACTGTAAAACATAATGAATTTTTCATACAAATTTATGACAGTTACTAAGTTGACTTGTTTTAAACAAATTTGTTATTTGAATTGAAATCAGATATTCCTTCTGGCTGGTCGCAAGAGAAAAAAGAGCACAACCTCTAACTATCTAATAAGCACAGATGCAACTGACTTGTCAAGAGGTGGAGAGAGTTTTATTGGAAAATTAAGGTACATTTTAGTTTTAACTCAAAGTATATACTATTGCTTAGTATGTGTATATTAGGCTGGCCTTCAATCAAACATTCTTTTAATGTGAATGTTGTCATTTTTTCTTTTTCAATCTTCTATTCTTATTACAGCTGCAACAATATTTACAAAGAAGACAATACAATACTATTACAATCTAAAATACAATACCTACAGCATTGCCAGCTTATTACTTTACTTCACTTTCAACACAGTGACTATTAATTAAAACTATACATAAATTGACAACACAACTGATTCCATTGTGTTACTAACATCACTACTAACAACACAACTTGTTGAGTAACATTACTTATGATATATCACTAATTGTGTTATGTTATGATTCACTTGCTTTCATTACTTTTCAGAAGAGGAAAATTCAAGATTCTTAACATTTATTTTTGTTTGTTTGTTTTTTTTTTTATTACAGATCCAATTTAGTAGGGACAAGATTTACAGTGTTCAACAGTGGCGTGAATCCCAAAAAAGGAGGTGTCATGTCTGATGGTTCAAATATTAGGGAAGAAGTGGCAGCTATTATTTATGTAAGTACAACAGAGCATAGCCACAAGGGGCCAGTCACTTAAACAAGGGTTAGCTGTTGTTTTAACAAAACTGCTTTGTAAGCCATCTTCAATTTAGCCAAACCTTTAATCTGAGTATACATTGTTGTGAACAGTGTCAAGAGGGCCAAAGCTAATAATAGAAGGACATTATTTAATTTAAAATCAACCATCTTAAAGAGAATCACTGCTTGCCTAAAACCGCAGTTTGGGTTAGACAGTGGATAACCAGCCCAATGAGTTCTGAAACCTCTTGGCCATCCAACCAGTACATCAACTGTAGTGAAAAAACATGTTTAATTTTTTGGTTATTTTTTCAATTTATTACTTACCCATTTTCGGACATGAAAATTGCATTTAACACTGTCAGAGCATTTTTCCATGCATAAAACCCTCCATTTCTTTAATTGAGCAAGGGGTTTGGCATTATCTTTTCTAGGAAAATTGTTAAATGTCAGGAACACTGTACAATTGTAGGTTTACATGCCATATATTCATTGTGGCAGTGTGAAGAAATATGTAAATGGTAGCAGAGATCTCTGTATGCATGAGAGGTCAGGATGGAAACCTGCAAAAATGGAACTAGGTCTGTTACTTGGCCCATCTAGATGACAGTCCTAAAGAAGTTCTTTTGTCTTCTGTTACTGTGCTGGTATCCCTTACAAGACCTTCATGCTCTCATGTTATTGTCATCTGTCCATGAAAATTCCTTTGAAACCACTATATGGATAGTACCTATTTAAAAAAAAAAAAAAGCTTCATAAGGTTGCTTAGTGTCCCTGCTCATTCATGGCTGCTGTACTTATCCTGTGAGAGAGTCAAGCTAATCAATACAAGGCACATGTAGTTTTACTAAAAACATTTCTTTTATCTTGTAGGATACAAATGTTCTTGGCTTTAAAGGTCCTCGCAAAATGACAGTAATTCTTCCAAAAATGGGGATTGATCATGAGAGAATACCAGTACGACCCATTTCGGTATGACTTATATTTTGTTCTGTAAATCTGCTGTTGCTAATTATGTTTTCTTACTTTCTTTGAAGTATTGTAAAATACATAATAAGCAGATAATTGTTTTTTGCGATTCATTTATATTTATCATTCCATTTAAATAAATGTAATATTCTTGCATTTCCAAGTAAGGTAAACACTGATTTTGAAGTACAGCTCTATTAAAATGATTGGGAAACATTTGTATGTCTGATTCACAATATTCATCACCATTAGCAGAATGGAGACAGTTATGTACAGTTATGTATCAAATTGTTTATCAGTTTAACGTGTTTGAAGTAACTTCTAATGGTATATACTCTTGGTCAGGACAATGATGGTTTATTGGAAAGATACAAGAACAGGAAAACCGAGAATCTGTTGGAGCTACATAACAAAACTCCTGTTTGGAATGATGGTAAACATGATCTTTTTCACTACATTGTTTACAGTACAGTAAGAAAGCTTAATGGTTTGGAAATAGCATGAATGTACTTAGTGTCTTTTGATCTATGGAAATCATTAATGTTTTGAAACTTTTTGTGAGGAACGAACTGTGGGCAATTTCAGTATGAAAACCTTTCACAAACATTATGAGTGACCACATGTAATGTTTTTTTAATATTAAAAACAAAATCACTAAACCACCTTTTTCAAAAAACATTATGAGTGACTATGTGTAATTTTTATTTTTAATATTGAAAACAAAATCACTAAACCAACATTTGTCTTTACACTTCCTTGGTGCACAAATTACTCAAAAAACCTTTCAGTAGGTTGGAAAATGCTTGAAGTAATTGCATGTGACAGACAAACCATATTTTAGGTTTTTTAAATATTTTATAATTTATCATGATTGATTATTGATCTTTAAAAACTTTAATTTTGAGGAAGTGCTATTTTAAAATTTTATTCTGCACTCTATAGCCTAACTATCTGTTCTTCACTGATCAATCTGGAACAAGATGTTCAGTATAAACATCTAACTAGTTGCTAAGGTGATATTGCATTAAGTCTTAAACCTGGAGACCTGGACTAGGTTGTACAAAGCTGGGTTGAGTTAACTCAGGGCTAGTGTGAAATCTGACCTCAGATCTGAAAGCATTTAAAGAAAATTCAGTTCAATTCTTTTTGGTCTACAATTTGATGTTTGGAAGCTCTAAAAAGAATAGTGGAAATGATCTAAAAAAAGGCTTTTGAAGAGAAATGGTGGTGAGTATGTTTTTCTTTGGTTCCAGATACACAATCTTATGTCCTTAATTTTCATGGAAGAGTGACTCAAGCATCTGTTAAGAACTTTCAAATTGTAATGGATGCTAATGGTAAGCCAATTTTCATGTAATTATCTTTAATTAATTCTTACATTTCTAGGTATTAAATTCAAGATTGTTCAATTTTCATATTTGACTTTTCTTGAGTTATCTTTTGCTTTTTTGACACTTTTTATGTACATTGCTGTGTTAAATTAAGCCCAAAAGTAATTTATTGTAGCCATCTTACTCTGCTCACCTATCGAAATCTTGCCCTGATCTACAGTCTAATACTGTTGCACATTTTGGGCTTTCTTCTGCTATAATGTTACACAGTTATGGTTGTAAAAGGATAATACTAGAATGATAAATTGATCAATTTGTGTATCATAAACTTGCAATGACATCCGTTTATAGCTTTTACCCCTCAGTGTACTTGGAGTTGATGTCAATTCTTTTTTTGCTGTTCCAGTTGATTACATAATTATGCAGTTTGGCCGGGTAGCAGAAGATGTGTTTACTATGGACTACAGTTACCCAATGTGTGCTCTACAAGCATTTGCAGTGGCCCTAAGCAGTTTTGATGGCAAGCTGGCTTGTGAATAGTTTCAAACAAAAATGACTCAGGGTTAATTGGCAATTATAGGGAATTCATAAAGCTAATTAATTAATGTTATAATTTGTAAGTGAGAAAGAAAGGAGGGCATTGTAGGTTCATGTTATTCTTTTAGATTTTTAGTTGGAAAAACTGAAATGTGCATGTCTTGTAAATTTACCCCCTAACAATTGACCAATTGAAAGTTATATCTGCTGTGAGGCTTGTTTGTTTTTCAAGCGGGCCATTGTTTATAAATAGGTATCGAGCACCTGTTACTAAAAATCCTATGTTGGTGCATTCTTGCTTTTAAAAGAACCTCTTAGCTTCTTAGCTTTAGCTGTAGTTTTTTTTTTAAATTTTTATTTGAGCAGAGGTACAGGTCTGTAATTATGTACAGACAACAAAGGAAACAAACCTTACCCTGTTTCCTTAAAGTTACATGTCTGAAATGAGAAATTTTTTTTTTAGATCAGTTGAAAGGAAGTTGCATTGGGATTGTTAAATTTCAAATTTTACACTGAGGCTTACCATTATTGCATTTTATTGAATTGACTTTGTTCTGTAAATCAGAAAGTCATCATGTTGTAAAGGAATTGTAGTTGCAAGCAACTTGAATTTATTTATTAACAAATATTATATGTACCTTGTACACTTCATAAATTTTATGTAGTCAAGATATGTGTAACTTTCAGTGTAACATTAAACAATTGCATGATTCTTAATCTTTAATTAGTATATAAACAGTTTGGTTAATTGAGCAGGAAGAGAGTAGACTTAATTAAATTTTTTACTGTTAAAACAGGCCAGACATTTCCCAGAGATAGGAAATGACATTTTCATCAAAATTGAAAATATGCCTTTAAGTTTCCTCTTTGTGTAATGTTAGTATTACTTTCATGTAGAATGTGGGTGATGTTGATCATCAATTTTCTGGCTTATATCTCACTCATTATGTACGTAACAAACCTATTCTACCATCTACAGAATTAATTCTCATGACAAGAAATGTGTAGAGGAACTGGAAATTCTAGCATGTAATGTTAACTTTTTATTCTTAATATAAATGATTGACCTTTTGACATCAAGTTTGTATTTGACGAATAAAGAATGAATATCACAACTTATGAAAATTCAAAGAGCTGTGTCTCTGGAAAGTGTTTGCTTTATCACTGATAATTTTGTAATATATTCTTACTCTTGTGTGTCTTGATCTCGCATACTGTACATTATGATGAAATTGAGACCAACTTTACAATTGAATGAAGTTATTCTCCATGTTATGGTCTTGTCTTGTTTTGCACTGGGTAAGGAGTTGATCTCATACCAAATTCATCAAATTAAACAGTTATCTCAAGAACTATATAACAGACTGTAAGGAGAATTACTAATGAGATATTGGGAGTTAAAGGGTTAAGAGTATTAAAAACTGAAATCAGTGTTTCTTGGCAACATAGATATTGTGTGATCGTTTATCACTTGATGAGAATGACAAGATGGTCCATTTTGGCTATTTTACACTGAACAAATGTAAAATGGTTTCCGTGTTTACATAGCCTGATGTAAACACGCGGGAGGTTGGGAGAACACGAGATAAGCGTAGGAAACCACGACGCGAAGCGGAGTGGAGCTTATTGAGTGTTCTCCCAACCTCCCAAGTGTTTACATCTGGCTATGTAAACACAGAAACCATTTTACATTTCTTTTATAAAATAACTAATGAAAGAGCCTCTTCTTGCAACGAAGGAAAGTGACGTGCTTGTTGTTGTTGTTCATTTGGCTTTTCGGCCGTTTCTTGAATACTGGGAAAATTAAACTCCAAAGAAAAATTAGGAAAATCTTCTTAAAGAAACTGAGTTACTGCTAAATAAATAGCAGGGAGAACTCCGTGAGAAGATTCAGTATGAAAACCGTGTTTACATACGCTCATGTAAAATGGTTTAATGGCCAATCAGATCACACGTACTATTTGAATTATTTTATAAAGTTTTATCAAACTCTTGAATTCAAAGTAAATAGGTGGCATGTTTGCACACATGCATAAATTGGAGAAAATTGCAAACCTTTCACATTAAACTAAAATATATCTTTGTGTTTTTTTTATGTGACATGACAAGTTTGTGCTGGTGCATATTAAATTGGAATTTTCTAATTCATGTCTGGTGAACATACATTAACCTAGGTTTAAGTGAAGGTTACTTTCACCATGGAATTTCATTTGTTTTTTTGAATTGTGAATTCAGTGTCTGTAGAGCCTCATAATGGAGCTGGGTAGTATTGCAGAAAAATTTCATAAATAAGCCAGAGAGGTGAAGTTGGAGAGACCTTATTAGGCATCTTCTATCTTTACTAGTTGATCTCTGTTCTTTATTTTGGTGGAGAAAAGTCCCGAGGAAGGGGAGTGGGTAATAATAGAGGCAGCAGGACCCTTAAGGCTTTCTCACAGACCCTTGAGAAAAATTAAAGCTGCTGCTTTAAGACATCCTAACATACAATGATTTGCAACAATACTGAAAATCTGGACAGTAACTCTTGCAAAAGACCATCAAATGCAAGGTGATCAGCTGTACTGGTAGTACTTTACTATGACTGGCTATCAATGTAAAACAATGCCTCGGTGGTGACTGGTTTGAGTGAAGCAACGTGAATGTGTTGTTGGGCTTGAGCAAGTGTTAAGAATTTTTGTGCTTCAAATGCATATTTGGACAATCTATGCTTGTCTTCGAAAAAAGCAACTGGTCCTTTACAACCAGTCTCCAGACAGTGCCCCACTTTGCATTATTTACCAATTTGATATTTATGGGTACCCATGCATGCACACCAAAAACATAAGACTACCATGTGATATTTCTTAACAGTGAAGTGTGGGTGCTTAGATTTTGTGTTAGGGTTTCTTGAATTAAACTACTGCAAATAAACCTTAATAAAGCAAGGTCGACTGTTTATTAATACTTTCTTATTCATATAATAATAAGGAAAAAACATCACTAAAAAAAAAGCAACAACAACAACAACATTTATACAACCCTAAAACAATGCATCTTTGACAGAGAATATCATGCCTTACTATTTAGAAGCAAATCCATCTTGTATGTTTAGTAATTAAGAAAAGTAAACTTTTATATCTTGACCTTTCTATGTTCACAACATCACAGTGGTAACTGTATTTTCTACATTTACCTTCCTAAAGTCTTAAGTTTACTATCCTACATCAACTAGCCTGTAAGAGAGCACTAGAAGTACATCAAGAGACAAAACAGCAAGGGCCAGTCTCTAAAAATTTTCTCTAGCATGTCCAATCTCCTGCAGCTTTGACACTTGTGCTACAACCCTCTTAGGAGCATTTTGTAACTGATACACTGATCCAGTATAGACATTAAACACATGCAAAATTCTGAATGGAGAAACAGCAACAAATTAAATATACTTTTTTTTTAACTTTCTAATTTAAACAATTTGTGACAAGAACATTGAATAAAGCTACACATTTTATTCATGTGTTTTGAACGTGTTACTCTTTAAGGATTTCTGGATGAAAGTGAAATCCTTTAATTCCTACAAGCTATAAACAGTCACATTAATATTTGTATCTTGAAATACTTGATGTATGATACCACTAACTCTGTACCATTGTAGACCATCTAAGCCACAACCAATCTTCGGCATTGATAGGCCAATCACATTGTGGGTAAGACAATGGTCTCTCATGGCTTCCAGTGATGACTGCAAAGTTTTGTATGTTGGTTTATGAAAAGACTTCTCCTTGGTGACCTAATAGGAAAACAGAATACAAACCATCAAAAGTCCCCTTGCACAAATAAAGATTAATTTTTGATCAGCAAACCACTATTTAAGTCTATAGCTGTAATTAGGAATTGTTGCCATTTTTCTTTCATCATTGCATATATGACACAAAAGTGCATTATTATTAGTGTTCAACACTGGAAACTTGAATTTTTTAAACCTCTTCACATATGAAGAGCCCTTTCATTTGAAATGGAATATACTGCAAAGGAACCCTTACAAATCATTTTTATCTGTTTCATCATTTATTAATAATAAATGAAGAGACAAAAGTTTAGCGAGCTTATATTTGTTTTGAACAGTGCATCCAGAAAGTCGAAATTAAGTTCAGAAACTTCATCTGAGACGTGTTTTACAGATATCATGCAACAAAAGCTTGTAATAAAATTACACAGACTTTTTTTGAGTTATTGTTTTAACACATCATGATGACACTTTCTGAATCATTTAATTGTCACAGCCTGAGTTCAAAACCTTTACCAAGTAATAGACAAATCTTTCTCCTTTTTTCAAAATAGCTACGCCTCCTGGCTTCTGCCCTAAGTTAAAGATAAAAGAAAAATGCATATAACAGCTGTTTGATTACAATTATCCAAATAATTATGCTGAAATTATGCAAACAAATGTCTTAGGTGCATGTAGCTTATAATAAGTAGTGTAACTAAAAAAAGTTTTTAGACACTTATGTTCTTTATGGTTGTTGTAACAATACTGAATAACAATTCCATTCAAAAGGTTGGTGGAAGCTGTCACCTGATGTGAAATCCCACTGAGTCACTTTCAACAATTACCTTCATTTCTGAATATTGTTTTCTTGCAGCTTCACCTTAAATTGAGGGGAGGGGAGAGATGTAGAACTTCTGAGCTAGACAAGTGAATACTGGCTTATGTTATTACTGCCATCACACATCTTAAATGAAATTCAAGTAGTAAGTGTTTAGGTATGATCAAGCATTCAGCTGTAATGCATATGACTCAAGTTCAAATGCACTCCTGAGAAATACCATTTCTGCCTAACAGCAAATCCTGTAGAACTTTATGTAATTTGAAACTGTGTTAAACACAAGATATTCAGAATCACAATTACAATTACTTTATTGAAGGTTCAATCAACCTTTTTTTAATTGAGGATTCCTTTAAAGACCATACAGCATACTTAAAAAATATACCTTGACTTTTGATCTCCTCCACTCCTCCAAATTTATTTTTAAAGAGGACTGCTATCCCTTTGCCCATCCTGGCATCAGCACTTATACAGTGAGCAAGGGAATCACTGACAGGACATGAAAATAAGTCACCTTGCACCTCATTCAGTTTAGACAGTGATCTGGAATTTCCTGATTGGCTATCAGCCTGCAAGGTGTAAATTAAGGTCTCATCAAAGTCATGCAAATTTAAAACTGCATGCAGTCAAATTTCCTGATTAAATGAACTTTCCACTGGGACTTAACCTGCTGAGACTGATAACCAAACTTGTGTTTGTGATGTTTTCTTTTCTTAGGAGTTTGTTTGCTGTTGCTGGCTTCACCTTCCGATTCCATCTTATGTTTTCTGCAGGAATGACAGAAATAACGCAGCAATAGACACAGTTCACTAACTTGTTACACGTATGCATATGCAGAAAGATGGAAAATCAATCAATCAATGAATCAAATAGATAACTTACTCTATCATGTATCAATAGGTTAATATATGGTAAGCTGAATTTTAAATGCATTTTGATTGGTTCCTAGACACAGATGACATCACCATTAACAACATTTTTATCATCTAAAACAAATAGATTCTATGCCGAAGGTCTTTATAGTAATAGATCACAGAGGACATCAAAATTTGGTAAGAACATCAGTGACACACGGCTGCGTCTCCTGTGTAACTTTTTTTTTGTATTTACCACATTTTGACGTCATCTGTGACATGATTTATTACTGAACAGGCGCACTAGGACCTGGAATCTACAGTATTTGATAAATTCGCTGACAAGCAAATGAGTAAATAAAAAAATCCAAAAATAAAGGTATAGCTGAACGAATTTCAACTGATTAATCTTGATATCTTTACCTAGGTACGTACCTGTAAATATAAAAAAATGTTTTCAATTAAAGTTTTTGGTTTAATTTTCAATCGATCAACTAGTTCAGACCATGCTCTAATAACCATGCTCTGATAAATAGAGACGTCATTTAGCTGAAGTCATGTAACATGTCACTAACCGAGGAACCAGGTACTTTTCCATTAATGTTGTTGCGCAAAACTTTCAGTTTCGAGAAAGAAGCCAGTCCAATCCAACAGGAAGTCTGACACAATAGGTACGTCATGTATGTTAAATTTTTACGTACCACTACCGAATTTTCTTTAGTTCAGATTCGCCTGCAGAATATTTTTTTCTGGTGAATCATCGCACTCGAATTTTCTATCACTTGGAGAATAGATTGAAAATTCAACGACTGGCCTATTTCACTGAGCTACTCTGCTTTCTACAGTTACAATTTTTATCCTTACGCAATTTCTCGAGGAGGAGGAAGTCCCTAAACGTCACGTGGTCTTTGACTTCCTTATGATTTCCTTCTTTCAGGAAGGGTACGGAAGATGGCGATTTCAAATTTACGAGGATTCCTCAACAAAATAGCCGACGACATAGGATCTGAAGATCTAGCTAGTTTAAAGTACCTTTGTGGTGACAAATTGGCCAAAAGAAGGTTAGAAAATATATCCACACCGAGGGAACTGTTTGTAGCCATTGGTGAGATTACCGAAGGCGAAGAGCAGCAGCTCTCTTTTTTAAGACAACTCTTTCATAACGTTGGGAGATTGGATTTAAAGGCTAAAGTTCAACGTTTTCTTGACTCCAGAAAAGGTGAGTTTTGCTGCGTAAAGGTTCATTTGAGTAAAGAAGGTTCGTCAATATAGTGTTTGCCAATCTGCAGTGCCCAGTTGTAAAAAGGGCGGATAACGCTATCCAACGGATAAATCTCTAGCCAGCGGATAAGTAATAGCAAAACGATAGAGATCTATCCAGTGGATAGCGTTATCCGATATTCGAACAACCGGGGCCTGGTGTTTGCGTTGCTGGCTTCCTTTGCACCCTTTAAGATCAGATCTCTATATATATATATTACAGTTTTGAAAGAAAATGAATGTTTTCTGCTTGTTTTATCTCAGGGGATGAATTTGCAATATTTAAGCTGGTATAGGTAAATCCTCTATAAACCTTATAACATAACTTGGAAACAATCTGTACCCTGATATGTGATAGCATATATTACATGGGACCCTATCCCAGTTTCCATGGCATAAAGCAACCACGAGTTTGGCATTTCCTCCCCCTTCTTCCTTACCCTTTCCCCCCCTCCTCCTCTCTCCATCAGGATGGGATTTCAGTCCTTCACAGGGTTACTCCAAGGATTTCATGTTTGAGAGTGCCCCAAACAATAGAACACAATGAGGGGATGTATGAACTAACTTTTTCTTATAAGAAATTGGAAGAGAACCTTGTACACCTTACAGCATCCATGTTTTTGGGTCTCAAATATTTATTGAAATATGTACCACAACTATTCAAAGATAAATTCTTCTTTACTTTTTTTAAGGTCATAAGAAGGATACCCATTTGAAATGGGGTATATGTTAATAAATATATTTTAATTTACCTTGAATTACTGTGAGCATCAGCTAAGTGTCATCAGATGAATTAATTAATTTTGATCTTTAACCAGTCAGCCAATCATTTAAACTGATATTTTCCTTTCTCTGATTTTTTTTTGTAGCAAATGAAACCAGGACTGATGGACAATATGCTCTACAGAACAATTTCAACAACACAATGAATGGAAGAGCCTCATCAGCTGTTTATTCTGGTACAGGTCGAGGTTCAGTATCTACGTACCATCGAAATGAGATGCCAGGTCAAAAAAGAGGCTCTGTCTGTGGTTCACCCTATGTATCTTTGTCAGACATCGTTAATGTTGTGACAGGTGTAGATCAACATGCTCATCAGTATACTCAGCCAGATTATGGAGGTAATATTGTTGTGGAACAGCCAAAACCACCACCTGAAGGTCAGCCAAACCCCCTTGTGTACCAAACCCAACACAGTGTCCCATTTGGTCAACAAGAGCAACCTTCTGATAAGATAGAACATTGTGAAAACTCTCAAGATCCTGCTGAATTTCCTCCAAACAATCAGAGACCAACTGTGGATCTAGGATCTCTTATGACTTTACACTTGGGAAATTCAACTATCAGCAGCAATGCACAACCTGTAGGAGTAAATGACAAAGATCATCCAGAACAATGGAGCTTAACAGTACATCCAAATGATATCAATGTAGGAGTTTCCAGCACCTCAGGGTCAGGTAAATTGCCAGGCAACAATTCTGTCCAACTTGGAAGAAGAGATGAACTAGACAGTCCAAATCAAGGAGCTTCTGATATTCATTTTGGTGAAACTAATCCAGGGGATCACAAAGAACAAGGAAGTTCCACAATGCATGTAGCTGAAAATAGTTTTGGATCTTCTAACACCTCAGTATTAGCTAGACCGAGGCCAAGCAGCAATCAAGCCCAACTTGGAGGAAAGGATGACAAAGGCAATCCAAATCAAGGACTTTCAAGTACAAATTGTGTTGAAATTCATCCAGATCAAATCACAGGAAGTTCATCTTCAGAGAAAGTTCCAGTTGAAAGAGCTGTGTCAGTCAATTATGATACCGAAGTTGCAGCACATTTACATCAGAAATGCCCAGTTGAGATGAGCTATAACTGTTTTAAAAAATATTTCAGTAGTAAAAACAGTTTACTGGGTAAAGGAGGCTTTGGGAAGGTTTATGAAGGTACAGTTACTGTTAGCTTACTCAGTAAATGTGTCATGGTCTCAGTTGGAGATGGGAGGAAGGGATGAATATTAGGGACAGGGCGCAGATGATACACTGTGGGGGTATTTTATTGTAAAGTTACAGAAAATATTTCATATCCCAATAAAAAGCACAATAAGGCTGATCAACTATTAAGGTAGAAGTGTGGTACTAATTGATTGTATTTGTCTTCCTGTCTTTTAGGTACCAAGAAATTTCATGGTCAGACTGTTGTCATCAAAGAAGAGCACCAGACTTACTCTGGACTTCCCCAAGGTGGAGCACAATTAAAGAGGGTAATGACATATAATATATACCGCATATAATTGTGTATTAAATCAAAGCTTATTGAGACAAAGATGCAAAAACTCTCAAGATGAAAAGCTTCAGATTTGTAACAGGATTGATTTGTGTTTTATTTGTTGAATAAGAAAATAGTTATCTTGTGTCATATCACCCATATTTAAATCGCTGGCAATCCTGGCAATCTGAGTGCCATTTTGCAGTGTGATTTAATCAGGAATCTGCTCATCCTATTGTGAAATCATGCAATTATAATTTCAGGCTAAATTGCACTTAACCCAGCTCAGGTACCATTGGAAATCAATGTACAACATGGGGAAATTTTAGAACCCAACCCGTGGATTTATTGAGAAAGTATCAGGCACTTGAAATACATGTATACCAGTGTAAGGAACAATTTGATTTTGAGTGAAAAGTCACCTTGGGTACTCTTGTACTCAATAGAACTCAACATGATTTTGATTTTGCTTCAGGAAAAAAAAGTTGGTTATATTAAACATCCCAATTTGATGCCCCTTTATGCTTTTTGTGAGGAGGAAGGGTGAGTCGACAAAGTTGAATGTTTTTACTTGTCTTTTTTCTTTTGAGTGTGGGTTATCTGCCAGTGTGGGTAATCTGTTGAAAATTTTTTCTCGTTATTGCAAAAAATGACCAATTTGGGTAATCTGCCGTGCGGGTAAATGGATGGAAATTACGGTAAATGATTTGTTTTTTTCAGAAATTGTAATGATTAATTGGTAGCAGGACTTTGTTTCATTCAATTGTGTCTGTAACCATACTCATAAATGACAAATCGGACTCATGTTTTGTGGTTGTCCAATTGTGTTAATCACTTGCATGATTACAGACGATTGGACTCCACTTGGTACTATTACCATTATTTATCAATCTCTGTTTCCTCTCTGCAGCAAACCACGCTGTCTTATGTATCCTAAAATGCACACTGATTTACATAAGGCTCTACGAAAGCGCTCAAAAGGCCAAAAATTACCTTTTGGCATTAGACTAAAGATTGCCCTTCATACTGCCAGGGGACTGCATTATTTGCATACAGAAGTGAAAAACGAGAGATGTGTAAGGTTTGTGCTCTGATGTTGTTTTATCATTTATTTTTACTAGGCTATTGATGTTCATTGAAAATTGTTATGATTTTATAGACGATAAAAACAACAACAATAATGATATGTATTTATTTATATTGATAATGACAGTGAAAATACTGATAATTATAATAATAATTATAATACTATGGTTAAGAAATTCTAATATTTGTAATAGTGATATCAATAATGTTAATAGTTATTATGAATAGCAATTTTTTTCCAAACTTCCATATTTCTTGAATTAGATGGAGATCTGGAACAGTTTTGGGATCTTTCATAAATCAACATAACTCAGAACTACATATTAAGCAACAACAGGAACAAACCTGTCACTTCTGTTCAAACTGTGAATTTAATGAAAAGAGGATGCCCCAAGACTAGATTATGATTTTTAAATAATGAGAACAATTATAGTCATTATGGTGGTTATCCTGATACTTATAGGGACACTGATAATGATGACAACATTAATACTGAACTTTATTTTCTAAATTCTCATGAAAGTTTTCTTTTAACATGTCTATAGTTAAAAAAATATAATTTATAGTACCGGTACTTAAAATGCGGTGGGTCATGAAGGCACAATGCAGTTTTGCATTCTTCTCTATTGATATTGATTTTATTTGTAGGCAGGAAATTGTACACATGGATGTAAAGCCAGGGAATATATTTCTTGATGAACAGTTTAATGCACGTCTGGGAGATGCTGGAATGGCTCAGGAGTTACCTATGGATTACTCTTATGCATCTCTCAGTCAGATTCGTGGAACAACTGGATACCTTGATGCATTTCTTAAAGAAAGACGCTTTAAACCTGTTAATGACATTTTCTCATTTGGAATAGGTATGCAGTTGCTCAAATTGTGTTATTTACGAGAATTGTAAGAAAATATTGTGGGTTTGTTATAATGGGATCTATCTAAAAGGGATTGGACATGGTCTAAAAAACTCTTTTTGATATAAATGAACATTTGTTGATTCAATTTCCTGTCATTTATGTGAGGTTAGCTCTTTATTACTTGTGATGAAGTTTTTGCAAACTTTGCCTGTTAGTGTTGCTCTAAGGCTCAAACTCTTTTGCTCACAAAGAAACACTTTCCATATCATACTAGTTATACCAAGGGCCTCCTGGAAGGCTATCTTAAAGGAACTTGAAAACAGGTGGTCCTCATCCTTGTTAAGGACCAGCAATAAGGGTGTTGTTTTTTTACCCTAAAATTTCTTTAAAATTCCCAATTATATTAAATGAATTTATGCTTTTGACTATTATTGTTTTAGAGTACAGGCTCGTTTAACTGTCACCTCAGTCTGTTTAACTGACAGACTAATTAAAAGTGAATTGAAACCTTACCCTGTAAACTGTTTACTATGTTTAATTTTTCAGTGCTCCTGGAACTTCTCACTCAAAAGAGAGCTGTTGAAAACAATGTGACCTTGTATGACAAACTTTATAAAGAAGGAGTGTTTTCAGATGTAAAAAACTTAATTGGTTCAGCACAGAAGGTAACAATAAAAATATTTTGTGCGTCATGGCAATATGTCTATTTTAAGTTAGAACTTGAAGTATCATCATGATATTAAAATGTTTTGTGTATTGCTGCTAGGATGTGTGGCCTGAAGGTGGAGATGAAAAAGGTTTCACTGAAGAATTCGCTAATCTTGCAATAAACTGTGTAAAACCACCAGAGGACAGAGAAAAACTGCCAAATGTGTGCAAGAGACTAGAGGTAAGGAACATTTTGAAGTTACTTTTGTCTGCTAGGCTGTATTTAGATGTTAGGTGCCTTGAAGTTAAGAGACTTAACTTATCATAATGATTGTAGAACATCTTTAGTTAGCAACTCAGCCACCCACCTCACTCCCACCTATTGAAGGCCTGTCATGATAGAGTGGTGGGACCCTATAAAGCAGATTTTACCCTCTGTAAAAGAAAAGAAAGTCAGCAAAATGCTTAAAAATTTCATTGAGAATCTCCAAGCAGCTAGATTTAAAGATTCAGGTAGAGTTTAGGATGCAACAGGACAACAGTGACATATAACCTGCATAACGCAAGCTAGGTGACTGAAACAGCTGCTCAGAAATCAGATATTAACATTTTAAGGGAGAAAGTATGGCTTTGATTACAAGGCTTGAATAGAAAAGTGAAAATGTGTAATGTTTGAATGTACTATTATTAATAATTGTTTCAAATCAGTATGGGCACTTTTCCATCCATTTACCCTCAAATCCCATGCAAATTGTACCGTAAAGGTACATGTATTTGTGTAAGGTAGAACAGTAAACTAAACATAAAATGTTTTGATGTCTTGCAAAAAGGACTTACTGGACAAGAAAGGAGTCAGTAAATATTCCAAAGAAGGAGCCCATTGTGTTTCTTGTCTACTAAATCATTCATGTATGTATCTCTTGAAAATCCAGCAGTTTGATGTACTTATTGTATGATAATAATTAACTAGAGTTGGCCAATTCTGACCAGTGTTCTTGGCAGTAAGGGTAGGCTGGTACCATTTTTTTAATACATTAAAAACTGCATCGCTAAGTGGAGGTTGGGTGCCTGAAACATCCAGAAGCTTTCGCTGTTGGCAGCCAGCTTCCAGATGGAGACTGCTCCTATAGCTAGCAAATCCTGGTACCCAACCACAAGCCCCGACACAAGAAAAAGAAACAGGCACCCATCATGCTAAATGAACAGTGGAAAGAGGGAAGGAAGGGGTGGAGAAAACTGCCTGGACAATGAACTGCCTCTCCAAACAATGCTGAAAATTTGCGCTCAAAGTACATGCAAAAACACATCAAATGAAGAGCACATGGAATTCTGATGCATGTGCAAAACCACTGACCACTAGAGAATTCTGATGCTCTGTGTTATTAACTCTGACTGTTAAATTGCTTTTAACTACAAAATTATAAAGTACATGATAGTTATTATTTGACTAATTACAGTGTATGTAAAAATTTAATTATATTCTTATATTGTTGGTAGTTAAATGCATCTTTATTAGCCTTTTCGCAACTCAGATCCCCATTTTCCATATCTGGATCTCTTAACTTATCTATTAAAATTCATTTTTTTCTTGCCAATAGCAAAGTATTTGGGAGTGAGGTCAAATGGCTGCAGCACTGTTCAAGAGTGTGACTATTTTTGTTCTACATGTTTGATGCAAGCACGCCGAAACCCTCTGGAATGTCCATACCATGGGCGTGCTGAACCTCCAATTGGTATATCTTATCATTTAGAAGTGTTAACATGTAGTCAAAGTTTTGTCACTATCATCAAGACCCAAGCTTTTGGTTTGCTCTTGAAATATTTTTTGCTCTTGTCCTTTAGTAAGGTATTCCATACAGTTGTTTATCTAATGAACCACCCTGTAATGTTATAATAATTATATACAGTCAAATGAAGGCTGTAAAAACTGAAAAACTTTTTATGGGCAGTTAACTGTTAAGGCTAATTTATATAGTTTTGTAGTAGTGTGGTTTGATTGGTTTGCAGTGCATCTTGGACTTTTTAATAATGAGGAATGATGGATACAATAAGTTACACTTTTTTTAATATAGGTGATTTGTTTAATTGTAGGAGGATCGGATACATATGCAGTTCTAGTTTGTGGAAATGACCCAGACTCACCAAAGGCAGCTACAATCTTTCTACATGATTTAATAGCCTTTAAAAGTGTTTTAACTGATTGCCGCATTGTTGGAGTTAGGTAGGGCTCTAGGATCATAGGCTTAAATACTGGTTACTTTCTCATATTTAGCCAATTTTGGGCACTTATTTGACTTGATCTAGATTGAAAGTGTAAGATAGGGGCTTCAGATGGGATTATTGTCCTGGCCCTGGTTGATCGAAGGGTGGATAACGCTATCCACTGGATAAATCTCTATACTGTGGATAGCACAGTATGTTTTGTCAACTCTTATCCGCTGGCTAGCAATTTATCTGTTGGATGGTGTTGTCTGCTCTTTGGACTACTGAGCCCTGGAGTTTACTCGCATGTATAGGGTAGATTATTTTGAATTATTTTTACTTACAATGACTATAACAGTTTTCCTGTCCTCATTGCTAATTTGGTTTAGAGCTATGGTCAAAAAGGTTATGGATCATAAATTAAATTAACACCACATGTAATGCAATGCTCCAAAATCCCTGCTATGTTGGAAAAAAAATTGGATACCAGGCTGCACCTTAATGGTTACAGTTCAGTTTTGGAAATTGTTGATGTCATTTCTATGATCAACAAAGTTATAGACAATTGTGGATGTAAGTGGGAGTTAAATTATCATCCAGATCCAAGGGTTTCCAATGATACTAGGTGGCCAAAGTTGTGCTGGGAGAAGTCACTGCTTGTGCATGAGGCTCAATTACCTAAAGATTGAGTATGGTTAAAAGAGGCTAACCATAACAAATGGAAACATTCAAAGAAGTTATAAATTTAAATTACTGCGAAAATGATACAAATCTTAAGCATGGTCCTTTTGTTTTTCATGAATAAATCTTGGCAGATCCAAAGCTTAAAATTATTCTGTGTCACTGTGACCTCATTTTCTTTTTCTTATAATTCATAATAATGCCTCAATCTAAGAAGGTGGCCATGAAATACCTAACCATTACTATTCTGAGTTATAAATATTTGAGTGAGGTATTTGTCCTCATAAAAACAGTAAGTTTCTTACTCTTTTAGTGCCACATGACTGTTCTTTTTTTCTTGCTTTTAGGAAAGATCACATATTTACCATTACACCGAATACACCAGGAGGTGCATCACAATCCAACCTAGTTAAAAAAGTTCTACAAGACCTTAAACAGAAGCTTCAAGGAAAGACGAATGTGTTTGTTTATTTTTATTTTTCTGGTCACAATGATCATAATGGCAACTTGCTATGTTCTTCTGAAAATGATTGCCTAATGGAGGATGATTTGAAAAAGCACCTAAACCTTCTCAGTCCCCATGTCCGTGAATTCTTGATTATTTTGGATTGCTGCTTTGCTGATGGCAATATTGCTTCAGATCATCTTAAGGATGAAACCTATTTAGTTCAAAAATCACCTAACCCAGTGAATGTGGAGGCCCCACCACATCCTCTTGAGTCACTGTGCAGTAAACTACGAAAGGCAAGTGGCGATGAGAACTGTTGTGCTACTGACAAGAGTCCTATTTCAAATACAGATTTAGACATAGCAGCAACTGATTTTAGTGCTGTGGATGGGAATGTGATCCACAAAGCTCCAGTTACACCATCTTTTAACATACGTCAGTGGTCTTCTTCATCATCTCAACAATCTTCCTATGCTTTGGCCAGAACAGGAAGCTTTCTGACACGCTTCATAACTTGTGGGTTGCGTGGTGCACATGATTGTAAAGTTACAAACTGTAAATTTTGTGGTGCATTCAAAGCTCAAGCCAAATCATTGGGTTATATTACTGCTTCAAACCTGGAGGATTTCTTCTCAAAGCACGTGGAAGAAGCTGCCGCTAAAGCTGGTGGACAAGGGCAGTGTCCACGCATACGAACACTTCACTCAAAGGATACAATACTGGCTTTTTACAATGAAGAACCATTGTGTGATGAGATGTTGTTCAAATCAGCTTCTGGGTATACAGAGCGAATTGTAGTTAAGGAGTTCCCTCTTCACCTTTTTGATTTTCAATGCATGGTGTTTGACAAGGTTAAAGGTAAATATATTTAAAAACACAAGTTGATTAACAAGCTAATGATTCTGCATGTCGTTTTGTTTAGTTTACAGCAATTAAACTGGAATGTTTTGGATTATAATCATACAGTCACGAATTTCACTCTACACGTTAAAAAAATTAGAAAAAGATCAACAATGAAAGGTAATAGAAGTGAGTGACTGAATAAAGAAAGGAAGTGTTGGGGACAATCGCCATTGGTAGTTTTAAGTTGCAACAATTACAGGTAGAACATTTTTTTCTCAGACTAAAATGTTTACAAAAAAGAAGTGGTTTTTTAAACATTTAATAATAAAAATTTTCGTAAAAGCATATTAAAAATATGTTGACGATGTTTCGTTATTTGGCTGACCGTCTTGTCTATGAGATGCTTTTCATCAAGCAGCACAATCCTAGTCTCAACACGCAGGTTGATTCCATTTGCGCAAAACTCTTTGTTTAAAAGAACATTCCATCACCTATTGTCTTTTTAGTATTCAAACATTTTTTATCTTTCACTATAATGACGTTAGCCAAACATCAAAACGTCGTCAACATATTTCTAATATACTTTTACGAAATGTTTTATTATAATTTTTTATCGTTAAATACTAAAATGTTTGCCAATTTAATATTTTTCTCATAAATACCATTCTTGTTTTGCAGATCACCTCCCCACTTGTGCTGAGGTAAAGCACCTTCAGATTCTCTGTGATGATGAGGAAATTGGGAGCACATCTTATGTAGACCTCAAAGATTACCTTAGACAGGGGTATGATGTCAGATGTCAGTTAAGGCCATGTTATAGTATTGTAAGAGGTCCAGTGGTTGTTGAGATCCAAACTTACATGAATCAGGTTCTGACTCTTTTGAACTCTCTTCAGTTGTCAAGAAATGAACAACAGGTTTGTTCTTCTTTCAATATTATTGCTACAGTGACTTTTGATATGCCTGAAAATTTCCTCTAGAGCTCTTAACATTTTGTGCAGTTAAAACAGTGGCTTAATTTATGGTTAGCTCAGGGAACTTGGGGTGGAGTGGTCAGAGTGCAAGACCTTGCCATGTCATTCTGAGATTGCCTTGTTTTTGTAGGCCAAACACTACTTGCATATAGTGCCTCTCTCCACATAGAAGTATTTTTGATGAGTATTGGTGGACTGTCATGGAAACCCATGAAAATGCGTGAGGGTAACCAGTGATGGACTGATTTTCGAGGGGTTGGGTCCTACTCAAGCTTCTCACTGGCATATGGAGGCATAAGTTATCTTTTTTTTTTTGTTAAAGAAAGGGGTGAAACATGTATTAGTATCTGCCTCCCTCAAGCCACTTCCTTGTTGCAGGTGTACACATTCTACTATGATACACACCAATTAAAGGGGAATGCAAAGCTGTGTTCAAGCACATGCTACAAAGGCTGTCACCTGACTTTAAATGGTTCTTTTCACAGGATTGTGTTACCTTTGGGATGAAAACTAGTGAGAAATCTCTCAATGCTGAGGATGTCAGAGAATGCTGCGATGAAGACCCCAACCTCAGTGGTCTTAAGGAAAGCTCTGTGGAAAAATCAATTGCAGTGATTCTGACAGAGGCATCTGTGCACCAAGGAGTGTTAGAAATAAAGGTTTCAGACCAAAGCATGGACTGCTGTTTTACTCAGCAGGATTGAACAGTACACCATTGAATGTCAATAATTGAATATGTTCTGTGGAAGGTTTTGAACAACTGAAGATTGCACCTAGATTTGTATTGATAACGCTTAGATTCTTATATCTTATATCAATGATCGGTCTCTAAATGGGAAGAATTTTGAATTTTACTTTACTTATAATTCATTTAGCTGTAGTTAGTGAAGTCTGAAAGTATGAACATCAAGAATTTAAATGAAAGTTTGACTCTTTGAAAGATAAGCCTACTCTTGCTGCAGCATGTTTTCTAAAAATATTTAATGGTCGAGTTAATTATTTCATCAGTGTAAAAATATTTGGAAATAACAAATTATAAATGATATTGTAATGCATGCTGTAATAATTGATAAGTTACACTTCCAATAATTGGCTTATGGCTGTGTTATATTTTTTTTTAGAAAACTTGAGTTTATTTCTTTGCCAAGGCTTGAACTACAAAGAAATTCAGTGGATCCCTTTCAGCATGTTTCACTTGTCCAGTCAAAGCTCCCACTAGCCATTATCTTTTGAAAGCAAAAAAATTGTGTGCAATTTACAATCACAGGTAATGATCCTTCAGGGTGGACTGAGTGGAAGTGTGAAAATCCAATCTGGAACCAAAACAACAATAACACTGCATTTATGCAAGGGTCTGCATTTACTTAAAGAATTCTCTCTTTGCATTAAAAGAGTTTTCAGGGTATTTAGTAGACATGTGAGATTGATGAATTCTGGGTCCACAACACAGAAAATATTTTTATTAATAATTCAGATGTAGAGCCTTTATCTGGCATATTTTATAAATACTTTGCATCATTTTCCAGAAAAGAAATACCCAAAAAATTGACAGATAATCTTTGCAAGGTTTGCAACTGTTATTTAGTTTCAATAAAAGTATTACCTTAGTGCATAACATGTTGATGAAGTTTTTGATATTCAAAATCCTTCTTTATCTTGCTCCAAAAGCCATTTGTGATAAAAGTTGAGCTTACGGTCATTAGGGGTAACACTCTTCCAGTCACCAAGGCAAAATATTCTATATGAATCATCTCCATATTTTCCAATGCCATACAACTCAATTGGGTAAGTCCAGTCTTTAGTAAGGAATTCCTCTGAAAATCTTATGATGATTTTGGCTCTTTTTTCATGTAGACCCAATGGCTGGAGGAGCTCTGGTAAAGTAAGGAAAATTCCATGACTTGAAGTGAAATTATTGTGTCTTAATGTTTTACTTGTGCATTATAAAATAATTAAAATAGTATGTGTGCTCTGATTGGCCATAAAACCATTATATGAGCGTATGCAAACACGGTTTTTGTTCCTCTTTCATTTGTAATTTTATAAAAGAAATGTAAAATGGTTTCCGTGTTTACATAGCCTGATGTAAACACTTGGGAAAAACGTGGTTTCCTACGCTTATCGAGTGTTCTCCCAACCTCCCGCGTGTTTACATCAGGCTATGTAAACACAGAAACCATTTTACATTTCTTCATTATCACCTTTGAAACAAACATATTCTGCCTTGCATATTTCTGGGTGGAGAGAGGCACCATGGTAATGAACTATCTCACCCAAGAACAGCACATAATAACTATCTATGACTCAAACCCTGATAGTTTGACCTGTAATTTGGCATGCTAACTATTTCGGCCACCATGTCATAGACAATAATTTTCATTGATCAGAGAGGTTCTTTTCAAAAACAGGGCACACTCTCTACAGAGCTTTCAGTAAGTTTTAGAAAGGAACATTGCTTATCTGGAAAGGTAGATCAATAATAATTTAGTACCAAAGAGAGGGTAAACAATGATTTTCCAGGGTTTGGTCAACATGGACAAATTGAGAGTTGATTCCTAAATTAGAAATTAGAAAGGGTGGACTGGATGTGAAATGATACTGTATTTGACTCTTGGGAATCATTTTCGAGCAGAAAAATAAGACAACACAACATCAAGGAAAAGCACAAATTTTCCCTGCGGCTGTAAAAGCACGCCCAAGAGAGTAACTGACCGATGATGCTCTTTTATTGATTTGAAACCTCCAAATTATGAGCCTGCTTCTGAAATGCTTGCATTGGAATGCCCATCGTGTTTGCTCCTAGAAATCATCCCATTTGAGCCAAAGTATATCTAAAGCTTACCCGCAATTCTTTTCCAATCCGCTATTTTTGTGACTTCGGGATCAGGATATTTCTTAAAAAAATCCCACATGACTGGAATAGCTTTCCTTCCTGATGTTCTGTTTAGAAATATAGTTGCAACAAGCAGTTTCCATGGGTCATGGAAAAGGCTCTCTTGAATCAAATTGAACGGCGATTTAGGAGGGATCCACTTGGATACAAATTTTGAATTTTTGAAGACTGGATCACTTGATTTGAAGTAGTGACTCGAAACAGTAGTAGCTGTAATTTCACTTCCTGTTTGATTGTCACAATTTGTATTTTCATCAGTACCAATCATCTTGGTTAACTTTAAAGTGTTCGAGTTTCTCACTTTTCTTTTACTTGAGATCTTACGATATTTGAAACCATCAGCTGCTTGTTTTCGCGCCTCTTTCCGTTTATTGCATATGAACTTTCTACTTTCGTCTGTCTTCGACTTTCTAACTCTTTTATTATGTGTGACTCTAAAACGATTTTCAGGGACAGACTCGCTTCGTAACCGTCGTTTTAAATTGCGATGTTGTACTAGTTCTTTTCGCAAACTGTTAGCTTTTAGAAAATAGGGAGAAGTCTTTTGAGGATTCAAAGTCCTCTGTAGGGTGAATACGTGTTTGTTTCCTACTTCATCTTGTGGTGTTTCCCGCTTTATCGCCTCTGCTAGATCATTGAACCCGCTTGAAATACGATCGATATCTGAAACTGCAAGAGAATTAGGAACTCGGAAATCAAAATCTTCGATCGAGGGGTGACTTTCCTCAGTTGTACATGAAAGGTACCTCTGCAGCTCAGCGCGCGAACGAAATTTTCTTCCCTCTGGACTGATAATACAGACATCCATTTTTCCTTTCGTTTTCCCACTCTTTCGTTGAGTTACCAATTTCCTCCACTCTGGAATACCTGATGAAACATACATGCTATCCACGATCTCCCCTAGAGTATTTTTCCAAAGAATTCCAAGAAAACAACCAGAACATCAACAATCCACCATTTTCATTTCCGCGCAGCTCCTGGAAACAAGTTTCCATCCCAGGGTCTAGCCGAGAGAATGATAGCAGATTTTTTTGTCAGCGGCAACAACCAATCTTTAAATTAATAAAAATTGAAAATGGCGGCAATATATAGGCTTTATTGGATATTGGGTCAAATTGTCTAGTTTCTTGTTGCAAATAGAGTTAAAATGAGCGAATTCAGGATACATCACCATGTTTCACAGCTCTTGGGCTTATTAGGGTGAGTCACTTAAACAAATCGTGTCATGAAGTGTCCTTGCTTTGCAGACTTTCGGTTGCTGCTAGATCGAGGTAAACAAATTGGCTTATTTTTACATTTATTGCGTATTGCAGGCATCTATATAAAATGTTACTTAATTTTTTAGGGAGATAGGAGGGTATTTTTGTTTTCGCCGCCGCAAGAGGTTAGCTTATTCGGCAAAGGGTTGAATTTAACTGAACTCCTCTCGATCAGCCTTGGAACTATGTATGATTTCGCATGAATTTTTAAAACCACAGACTTGCAAATTTCAATTGGTATACTTGAAGGATACTTTTCTTGTCTCTAAATCACGCTAACTTTGAAAAGAAGAAAAATAAATATGTGAAATGAAAATCTGATAAGCTGATAAGCATCACACAATTGAAATAATGCTACGTGATTACTCTAACTTTTGCTTTACTCAGAGCCAGCACAGGAGATGGCCCTGAAGTGTATGCTGAAATGTTGACAAAGAACTTGACCCCTTATGTGACAACACAGGTAAGAAATTAGCAGCACATTTCTATTAAAGATTATTTTACTGTATAGGCCAACTAAAATATTGATATTTAAACTGATATTTAGAGTATTTTTACTACAGTTACTATACTTGTCGAATCATTAAAAACAATGGCACTACAAATAACAATTAATATGGTAAGGCTAAATTTAATTGAATGATTCTGATCTATGTTGGAGTGGGTATGTAACAAATACTCCATTCAACAGGTTTATGTACCATATAAGATAAGAGCCTGCTGCTAGAAAACCTCGCTGGTTATGTTACATGGTTTTTACCAGCTACATTGGACTTATCCCTTTTACCCTTTGGAGTGACTGGCTTCTAATTTCTCTAAACACTATACTCCTTGAATCAAATGTAAAGGTTATAAGAATAAAAGAAATGATCAACAATTTAAGTTCCTGATTGTCAAACAAATTGCCCTCATTATTGCTATAGGAAATGTAAAGGGAATAGTATGAAGAATGTGAATACTAATATTAGGGTGTAACTTGAATGTTTAAGTTGCAAGATTAAACTTAAGTAGCTTATAGTTTTCTCATTGTATAATCAGGTATCAGCTCACGCAGCTAAAAAGAAGATAGCTGAAACAAGTTCAACTCCAAGGGACTTTTTAAAGAAATATGATGAATTGAAATCTAAAAAGTTGAGTGGCATGATTCTTTTGTCATTTATTGCTGTGTTGTGGTAGTAGTTGTTTTTAGATTCACTGAATGCAGGTGAGATTTGTAGTATCAACAGAGAAACTCACAACAAATCATTACAACATAGCATGATCAATCGACATGGCGACCCAGGAAGCATGAGGTTCTAGCATTCATTGCACTCTGACATAAGCATATTCCAATAAGATTTCATGCTCAGCTTATGACAATAGTCTTAGTTTGTTAGTTTTAAATACTATCAGCTTGGAACATTTGAGAGGAATTACCAGTAAATGTCAAAGGCGATCAATGAATGCTATTAAAACTTTGTTTTGCTTTACTTTAATAATTGGTCCAGAAAACTCCTGCCATTCTCTCAAAAAATCAGACTCAGAACTAAAACTTCATCTTTGATCTAGTCACCCGCCCTTTTTCCCAGGAATTAAGCAGTTTACATAGTTATGCTTTGGGTTCTCATTTGATCCTTGCAGTATTCTCTTTTCCTTTGATTTGGTGTAATTTGTGATCACTTTGGTTTTGGCTTTATATTTTTATATCATTGTTATTATTTGTTTAATAACTGATGTTTAAATTCAGTGTCAGAGAACTTGATCCATTGGTTTACCTGCTCTCAAGACTGGCAGAGGATAAACAGGTTTGAAAATTTGATGTTCCTACTTTAGAGACCATAGAGAAATAGTTGCCATGGATGGTGAATAGTCTTGCAGGATCTTTCAGGATCTTTTTTAGAGTTGTGTTTATGATTCACTGTCTCATAGTTCTTATTCCTGTACGATTACCCTTACTGAAGCTTTAAGATCTTACCATGGATGGAGCAAGATCACTGTAGTTAATATTTGTGGTAAAATATCTTTTTTCTAGATGCTAACTTTCCTTGAAAAGAACTCCAAGGATCGCTCCAAGGCACATCTTGTGGCTATTTCAAGTGGAGCCAAAAGCAGTGTAATAGCAAAAGCTGATGCTGTACAGGATATCATACCTCCATCAGGCCCCATGTCGCAACATGAACTTAATGAGGTAACCATGGAAATAGCCTAAGAATAAAACAGAATGATTATATACATATGATTATATTAGGAGGAAATGTTCAGATGGTAGACTTGTTCATGATTACTGCTGATGAAGATTGAGTTAATGTTATCCTGTAGTCTGTTTATCTTATGATGATAATACTGATAACTGAACTATTATTTGAAACAAAAACTGAGGTTTCCACAACCTGCAGAAAGTCTTTGTCAGAGTCAAAGTATTTTTCTCTTACTAATAATTCTTTTCAGAACTATTCACACCCCAGCACTCAAAATACATGA